CGCAATTTTGCTGCAAAAAAGGTGAAACTTGCGGTGTTGAAATTTCATTTCGTGAGGTTTCGAATGGTATAGGTCACATCATTTCACTCCGACATCTCTAATTGACTTTTTTTCATTACTGGTGCCTAGTATAATATCAGATTGTTCGGCCTGGTAAGGGTGCAATTTTGCTGCAAAAAAGGTGAAACTTGCGGTGTTAAAATTTCATTTCGTGAGGTTTCGTATGGTATAGGTCACATCATTTCACTCCGACATCTCTAATTGACTTTTTTTCATTACTGGTGCCTAGTATAATATCAGATTGTTCGGCCTGGTACGGGCGCAATTTTGCTGCAAAAAAGGTGAAACTTGCGGTGTTAAAATTTCATTTCGTGAGGTTTCGTATGGTATAGGTCACATCATTTCACTCCGACATCTCTAATTGACTTTTTTTCATTACTGGTGCCTAGTATAATATCAGATTATTCGGCCTGGTACGGGCGCAATTTTGCTGCAAAAAAGGTGAAACTTGCGGTGTTAAAATTTCATTTCGTGAGATTTCGTATGGTATAGGTCATGTCATTTCACTAGTGTAATAAAGTTGTTCCACAATTCTCTGAACACTAATTGACGTTTTTGTACCGTAACATGTGGTCTTTTCTTTGTGCCCGCATGCGTTTTTGCAGGCATTATGAATATAGCACACAAAACTGCGTAACGACCAAGCTCCGCAGACGATTTTTAACTCTTTTGGAATCTGCTCTACATGCTTTGTATTTTTGAAACAATAGGTTTTCAAATTTTTTGTCTTCTCTGCGAAGAATTCTGACGGAGACATGTGGAAAATGTGCTCATTTGAACCCTGAGCTTACAAATGAAACGGACCTTTTAGTCGTCATTGCTGTAATAATACGGTCGTTGGAGGATGAGAATTGCTACTCTACTAAATGGGTTCTAACACTACTTTTAAGGAGGGTCTGATTTTAATTCTCCGCGACTTTGCTCAATGGACTTCAACACATGCCGTCCCACACATGGCGATGGCAGACAAGGTGTGGATCTTCCTCTTCTGGACTGTTGTCTTCATCGCGTATCTGATTATTATGATTTTCTTCATTTATACGAGTATTGTCAAGTTTCTCGACTATCCAACCGACCTGACATCGAGGTTGTTCTCCGCAAAACAAACTTTTCCTTGCATCACAATTTGTAATCAGAATCCGTGGAAGTTATCGAATGTTCAAGGAACCCCATTAGAGAACTTGGTAAGCTCCTTTGGAACACTGGATTACGGTAACCGATCGTCACAGGTAAACGCGTATAAAGCCGGTCAACGGAACGATTATTATGGGTTTCGTTCGAAGCCATTTACCGTTTATGAGGCCATCAGGGCGACAAGATGGACAAGGTTCATGTACGAAGATCTGAAGCAACTTGACATTGAGGTAGGCCCATCTTTCTAGTTATTACGCCATCTTTTTCGGACTAATGGATCCATTGGCTATTCCTTTGATGATCTCATGATCCGTTGTGAATTCCTTCAAGAGCCTTGTAACTTTACGTATGTCACTGATTTTGAGTTAGCAACTACTGACAATCTTTTTAGTGATAATATGAACATATTCTACGACCCTTATTATGGTCGATGTCATACGATCAACAGTGGGTTTACCTGGGAGACGATCAGAGCCGGACCGAATAACGGGATGAGGATATTTTTTCGGTCAGTTGCCAACGATTCTTTGCCGTGGATGCAGACGAACGGGATTGTCTATTATGTTCATGGAACGGTAAGTTGACTTACAATAGCGCTTTTCAAGGGCTAATCATAATGAAATTTTACAGGCTATGTTTAGGGTATAGTTTCTTTTGAGTATTTCTAGAGTATTTTCTCTAACCTTACTGTAATTACCGGTCAAGTTTGTTGTGCAGAGTTTCTACTATATGAACACTCTCTTTCCTCAAAATTGTGTTACAGAATGAAACTCCCTTTCAAGATGCCTTTGGCTATTTTGCTCAAATCGGCAAAGCTTCTTCGGTTGGAGTCCGGTACATCGAACGAGTCAAACTTCCCGAACCCTACAACACATGTGTCGACAAAGAAACCGGCTCTTCCAATTACTACGGCAATAATTACGAAGTTGAAGCGTGTATTCGGAGTTGTATTCAAGACCGTATTATGACAGATTGTGGTTGCTATGATCCTCAGTTTAATTTTCCGGCCAATACGAGTAGTGTGTCATGTTATAAGATGGCCAATATTAGCGGTTCGAGTAAGAGCATAGGGGTTTTTGAAAATTGTTTTTTAGTGGATTGCGCTGATAGCATTATAAACGCGATTGACACGGAGTTTGCGGACGACAATAACACTCAATTCACAATTAATAGCTGCAATTGTCCGCAAGCTTGCAAGTAAGAAACAGAAATCAGCACAGCTATTGGTTTACCAATATAACTGGTTGCTTTTAGCCAGTCGTACTACCAGATCTCAATGTCTCAGGCAAAATGGCCTTCCAAAAATTATACGGTATGTTCCAAGCGACCGTGTTGAATTTGTTGGTTCTTCAGCCTCGATCTTGCCTTACCAAACCGGTTTCTCAATACTGGACAACCCGTTCCGAGTGTTTCTCATGGTATGAAAAGAATACATTACTTTTGGAGATCTACTTTGAACGTACTTCCTATAGATCAAATTTGGAGAAGGCCTCTTATACAGTATGTTTACGTTTTCTAGACTATGTGATGTGTGGTGATTTTATGAGAACAATTCGTAGTCACTCCGCCACTTTCAGTGGGTCAGTCTTATCGCGGACAGCGGTGGTCAGCTCGGGCTATGGCTGGGAATGAGCGTTCTGTCTTTGTTTGAATTCGCCGCCTTAATTTATGTCCTCGGGTCCTATTTCATCCGTAAACCGCCCATGCCAACATTGGAAGATTACGATTACTGGAAAGAATTTGATCAGCAGGTAAGCATTAATAATTTATCTCCGGTGAAAATAATTTATTGCTGCGAATTTTTTTAGATCCTTCTTGACCAAATATACCAAGATAATGAGGCGTTATTTCCGCCGAAAGTTCAAGAAGCCGAACCAGTTCGGCCTGTGTCCAATTTGAAGGAAGATGTCGCCGGGAATCCTAAGGTGTCTGAGATTGTAATGACGAGTCAACCAGTCGCTACCACAGTCCGATAAGATCAAATAGCGCCCGAAAGAGTTGCTGGCTATATAATTTGAACATTATGTGTTAGAAACGGAGGCTGTGTGAGTTGTAAATATTTATTAAAATTGTAAGATCACTGGTTTCTGGATATCTACAGATAATATTTGAGAAAAATGATATCATCTAAAGTTCGCTAAGCCTCTTCGTCGATTGTCACCGGCGTGGTCGAGATTAGTTCGGTATGTTCTGTACGCGAAGTCCCCGCTTCGACGTCCTGAATTGGGATTTGGTGGTAAATCTCGAGGTATTTTCTAAAATCTCCATTATAAAGTTTTTAGTCGTACGGTCAAAGAAATGGCTTACTGCCATATCGTCGCGGATGTTACAAACTTTTTATTTTTCGATATATTCAACTTACATCTTCTCCTTCTCCCAATTCCTCATCTCCTCCTTGATCTTCCTCCGTTGTTTTCGATACTCCTTGATATTATAAAGCAGCCATAAAATGGCACAAAGACAGTAAATGAGAAGTGCAATGAAGATTGAAGGCCATATCGTATCCCAGACTTCATTTCGGATCTGCTGAAAAAATTTTAAAAATAAATAACCATAATGGAGATGTGTAACTTGACTTCTAAGCTCGCAAAAACACCCTTACCCGATTCATTTCAAGTCTCACATTTCCATCCTCAACCAATTCTCTCAGCTCGCTGTCGTATTGAAGTTCATGACTGAATTCATCGACGGAATCAAAGTCTCTGACAAATAAGGTGTCGTTTAGCAACAACATGGCTGCTACATAGCATAAACTAAAACCTGGGATAATACATATAATATTACGTATGAGTAGAAACTTTCTCGCAATTTCTACATAAATCGGTTTCACAGGAATGTCCAAAAAGCCGGGAGAACAAAATTGGGTCACTGCGATAAAGAAAGTATGTACACAGATGTAGGCTTGGGGAAATTTTAAAAATATCTGTGGTAATCTAATCGGCAAGATAAAAAAAATAAATTATAGATTAAAGGCGACATTTTTGAGCGGAGATTTAAAAAATATTTTTTTCAGCTCATAGAAAAAATAAGGAACGGAACATGTTCTCGCGAAATGTAAACAAGCGAGAAAAGATAACATTTTTATGTTTTGCAATACATAATTCAATTTCTAAGACGAAAACTATGTAAACAGTTTTGCAGATAAAATGTTAGCTTTAAAAACTCGAAATATAATCAGCGATTTAGAAGAGTTTTTGGAAAACGAATTGGAAAAATATTTTTTTTATCTGAGGCTCTGTTCATTCGAAAGTATGGTATACATTTCGACAAAAAAACCTTTTTGTAGATGAAATCAAGAATATGTATACTGTAAAAAAATGGTGCTTTTCCGGCCGGCTCTGCTTACAGTGAGTTTCTCTACAAAAAAAATATTTTTGAATATCTCAGCGGCACACGGAGAACGTGAGCTAAAATTGTCAGAATTTGATACGCAACACCTTTAAAGTCTGCGTCTTCTAAATTTGCAAAGTATCGTGGCATTTCGCAGCCAGCACTCCCGTCATTACAGACATATAACGACGATTCAAAACATCGCTTTGTCAAATTTTAAAGTTTTGCCAAACTTTAGACTTTCGAGTTAGTCCCAAAGAAATACCAAATCCGAGTCTAAGAAAGCCGACAAGCCCACAGACCCATAAACCCTTGAATAAGATGTCTATCTTTCTCCCTGGTCTCACGTAGCCCCATTATTTGCAACTGCCGAAAAATAAATAAAGATAAATAAAAATCAAAGCCCACAACCTTTTTTATCAAGCGAGAACCCGTCAATCATGCCCTCAGGCCTCAATTATATTTTATCTTTTTTCTCGCACGGAAAATCGGCTTTGCGTCAACCTGCCCGAGGGAACGCTCAAAAAATGATGGAAATAACAAAAAAAAAACGCTCGGATTTCAGGAAATTTTCGGGAAGACGGCCATTTATATATGACAACAGGTGCATTGCATTATAAACGAGGAACGGATGTTTGCAAAAAACAACTAGCTAAAAACTAAAAAGATTTAGAGTGGTAGGGTTGTATGCACTTTTCAGGTACCAAGACATCATTTCTCTTACTGGCCTTTGCATTTCTCCTGCTGCCTCATTAAAAACTAAACTTCTTAGTTTCTTCTGCAAAGCGCGAGGTCAAAAACTCAAAGAAAATCTCAAGAATTGGCCTTTATAAGCCAGAAGAATCTGTACGAACTATATAAAGATGCTGAGTCACCCTTTTTAATAATTTTATCTATTGTTTTCCTTAAAAAAAGTGTGCCTTTCATTACCATATTTTATAAACTTTAAGCAAAAAATCGATTTTAAAATAAGTTCTCTACCTTCCTAATTTTTCCAGTAAGAACTGAAACATTTACTAGAATCCCCACGAACTTTTCTAATTAAAGTTTAAAAACAGTTCTACTATTAAAAAGTTCAGAGCGAATTCTTTACAAATAAACAAAAGTCCATCCAAAACCACCTAGAAAGTTTCGGAAATGGATAGTAAAGAAAAGAAAAGGGTAAGAAAGATCCATGTGATCGACGTGCAATGAATAACAACTAAACTGATTGCCACTCAAAAAGGAGCTGATTAATCGTCGCAAAGTTCATTTGGAAGAAAAGAAAACTTTGCTAGAAAAGGCCAAAGCCAGAGGTTTTTGGATATGCGGAAAAAATACATATGTAAAGGAAACGGTTTGGAATAAACAAATCGGCCGAACAAAAGAAAGGACTATTAGGGGGAAACGCGAACGGAAAACAAGGACTATTATGTGAACATAGATATATGTCGTTATCTATTTGTCATCTATGTGGGCTGTATTTGATATGCAGTCTGTATTAAAGATAGATGAGGCCAACTTGAATGGGAAAATGATTAGTTTGGAAAGAAGGTTTATGTAAAACCCGGCTCAAAGGTGGTGAAACTCGACAAATATACAAAATTATTCTAATGGGTGCGGTGTGAAATATATCTATAGCATTAGAATATGTCACGTAAAAAACATGTTGCCTTTTCATCCTCAACAAAAGCAGGAAAACATTACTACGTATTTGCAAGGAGAAAAAAAATAAGGTTCTCAACAATCCGGAGATTTGGTTTTACCCAGAACTAAAACCCCGACAGTCGGAAAGTGATCCGAAAATTACTGGGAACGAATGTTTTTGTTTTTCCGATAAAACAAGGAGGGAAAGTCCTAAATGGAAGTGAAATCATGCCAATTAAATATGATGCGTAATTGTGGGAGTGTTGCGACTTTAGCTGAGGTCAAGAAGAGTACTGAAGTCTGATTTTTTTTATTCTTTTGGCATAAAGGTGTTTTCTTCGGCCATAGTGGCTCTGATCAGTATGCAGGCGGACAAGTGTTATAAGCGTTAACAAAACATGACTCCTTTCAACGGCAATTTTAATCAAAATAAATAAAAACTGAGTAATGACTCCTAAAAATACCTGTCACCAAAAAACCTCTCGCCGAAAACAGATGCCAGATCCTTCCAGCTCCTAAAGTCAAGGAAAGAATCGGCTTTTCGACCATTCTTTTGGAAGCGGGAACGATTTATTTGAAGAGGGTCAAGCCCTGAGATTCCCTCACTTTCGTCGAATTTCCGTTGGCATTGGAGTCACAGGGAAAAGAAAACGACGCGCTTCTTTCCTCAAGGTCAAAGAGATGGGAATACAGATCTAATTAAATTAGCCTTATACCTTTGAACGACCGTGGAATATCTGTGGAACGGCGGGGAAGCACATCAAAGAGTGGGACCTCGACCTGAATTCTTGATATTTTATTTATTCAAGAGGCTCTGACTTATGCAAATATTGAAAAATTGAAGATATTCAGGCTTATTTTTAATATGAAGTACGGTGGACAAAGGTAACACCATCAAGGATATTGCTCTTATCGACTTGATTTTGTCGCTTTCCAATTTGAAGTATGTGAAGGATTTTAGACCGGAATGCCGGAAGGACGAAAAGCACAATAAACGCGTCCAAGGCAGGGATTAGGTTTGATCCGGTAGTGCCAATGATCGATATGTATGGCAAGGCGTCGTTGGTTACGATCCCCGAAACGTAGAGTCCAATTGGAAGCATGAGAAAGGAAAATGGAAGGGAAGCCTAAAATTTTATGATTATTACTTGATAGAACAACAAAGGAAGCAGTTGAATAATTTGTCTTCTTTGGACGGAATTTATTCTGTAAAATCCTAGATTGAGGCGCAACGCTAAGCGCGCGATGCATTCTTCCACGCTAGCTAAATTCTTGACGTATTGTTGCGATTTCAAACCCTTCGTAATGAATAGTAAAGTCGTATGTCAACAACACGTACCTGCAAAAACAAAACCAAGTTGATGTCTGCATTCAATTTCCTCGTTGAAATTACCACACGCATGTCGTCTTCTCCCAATTTCTTCCATGTCCGGTACGCGTAAACAACTACAATAACAAAATTGGCGGAGAGGAGACTACTCAGGGTAATGTCATGCATCAAACACCCAAAAGTCGTCTAAAATTTCAGAATGGTCAGTATTTCCACAATAGGAAGGAAAAAGGCAATCTTGAACTAGGTAAGACAGAAAATAAATATAAATTTAAATTTATTCTTTTCCTATCAAAGAAGAGTTACTAATGAGCTAACAAAGATAATTTCTAAGTAAGTTACCTTATCCATGACGCTGAAGACTGGCAGTTTATTTCCTTCGCATCCGCTAATATTCCCAAAGACCATTTCTTGCAAACCACTTGTGGCTTGATAGTCGGTCGTATAGGTTGAACCATAAAGTATCCAGAAGACAATGGAAGATGCCAATAGTTTATAAAATAGATCGTATTCTGTATGAGGGTTTGTTAGGAGTTTATACCGAAAAAAGAACTCAGTGGCTGGCAGAGTTGTGTGGATGTAAACTATCGTGTAGCACAGCATCAATGCCAGCTTCTGGATCTTGTCGTTAGAATATGTGAAAAACGGAGGGTTAGTAAAGAAGACGTCGTATGGGCGATACGGTAAAGTCCTCTAAAACTTAAAACAATATCTTTAAAGAAGTAAGACCAGCTAGATTTTGCAAAATAAATTGGTAACAAGTTTAGGCTTCATTTGTTCAGAGTCAGTCATTGTGTAGCCTATGTATTCCGATTCAAACACAACTCACCATTCCAATCAAGCTCATCAAAACGGTATAGAAAATATTATAACTCGCAGTTACAGTAATAATCTTAGTATACAGCTGCAATCGTTTTTTCTGTTGTAGGCTAATATACAAAACAAGAGAGTTTAGGCCGACTGAAGAAAGCAGAATCAGATTGATTATGATGTTGTAGATCGTAGTTTCAATGCTTTTGTTACAGGGAATAAAGAACTCAACCATTTTATTCAAATATATGCTTAATGTACGACTGGCTGGCAGTGTGTTTTTCACGAAAAATTGTAAAAGCTAAGCTATTATAAAATTCGTAGTTAGAAATAGGTCCCCGGACTAACAATCTATACAGTTACGTCATGTCTACAGTAAACCCGCGATGAAGGTGGAGATTACAATTCTGGAATACAACTGTAGTATTAATCCTGATTAAAAGTTTAAGTGTTCATTTATATACCGTATCTTACTTTATATTATAGCACAATATACATCACAATTTTCTTGCTGTAGCTAATACAGCAAGTTTGCATGAAAATTTAAAGTTGTTGAAGGCTCTGATTTTATGTACAGCTGGCAATATAGCTCAAAGTTTAATGTACAAAACGAACTAAAAGTCATATTAATTCAATTAGTACAATACCACCCCCATCTGTTTGGCAAACGCCATCGGTGACAGTATTCTGCCTTAAACAGGAGACATTGTTCGGTCAAGAACTGGCTATTAAACACAGTGTGTATTTGTGGTATGAAATCTTACAAGCAAATTGTTCCTTAATTCAGCGACTTGGCGTAAAGAAGTATGCTGTAGTGTGCGTCAAGCTTAGGGCTTCAACTTATGACAAACAAGTGAGGATCAATTGAAGAGGCCTGGCAATACTCAAAGACTCTAGCAGACTCAACATCCAACGATTTTTTCAAAGACTTTATTTTTTTTAAGAAGTCATAAACGCATCAGTCGCACTAGTCACTTTTTGAACTTGGATAGCCCTTCCTCCAATTCTGAAAATGTTCAGCCACTTTCGCCGAAATACGGGCAGGACAAACAGTACGATAATTGCATCCACGGCGGGCGTACAGTTAATCCCCACATTTCCAACAACTTCAAGATACGGCAAAATTGTCGGCGTAACAAGTCCAGAGACATACAAACCGACAGGCAAGATCAGGAGAGAAAACGGTGCTGTCGCCTAAATTAGGAAATATACATATAATAACTATTGATGAGTTCATGAGCTACCTGTAAAAATAAGATTAAGTTAATATCCAAATTTAGTCGACGCGATGTGCCGGAGGTGCCATGGTCATGGTCATTACTTTCTAAGACGCGCAATGTTTTGTATGCAAAGTAAAGTACAATTACAAAACTTCCGGATAGCATGGTATTCAAAGTTGCGTCGTAAATTTTTGATGTCATTGTCGCCTAAAACAAAAGATTGAAAGTCTCCCCTCACCTAGTTTACCTTATTCAAAGAGCTTATTAGCGGATAATTGGCTCCATTGCATCCAGAAACATTGCTGAAAACAGCCTCAGCTAAAGGGCCGGTATCTTCAAAGTCAATAAAAGTTGTGAAGTGAAAGATCAACCAAAGCACACTTATAAGTCCAAATAATTTATAAAATTCAGCATTTTCGGTTGTTGCTTTGGTTAGAAGCCGATAGCGAAAAAAGAACTGCATCGAGGGTAGGGTACCCAGAACGCAAAGAAATGCAAACAGCACTGCTAGAACAGTTTGTTGTAGGAGTGGGCTTTGATACTTTATTAGCATGGAATCCGTGAAGAAGACTCTGTGCTTGTCAATGGATATAGCTCTCTGAAATAGTACATTACGAAGTGTCGCTTACGTTCTCAGACATTTTTTGCGAAGCTGTTTAGGCGCAAACTAAAGTTTTCAACTTACAAATCCCACAAAAATCATGTAAACGCTATATGCGACGTTGAAGCCCGATGTCAGCATTAAGACATTTGTGTACGATTTTAGAAATCGTGTTTGCTGTCTGCAAAACAACAAAACGATCAGGTTGAGCAGAATTGAAAGCACACAAGAGCCGTTAGAAATAAAGTTCACAACAGCAGTTCCGCTAGAGTTGCTACAGGGAATAAAGAAGTGTGACATTTAGCCTCCTTGCAGATGAATTAAACTTACGCAGAACAATCACAAGCCTGTGGTGTCAGTTGTTACACAATGTTTTTACATTTCAACTAAAAAACACATCGTGAGCGATAGCCATTAAATTAAAAGCATGACATTGCTTCGCGAAGTGTAGGCTATCCGAGGAAATTTATATTCGTACTACGGTCTCTTTAAATGACCGTATTTCTATTTTTGACTTTCCAAGAAAGGGTAAATAAGCCGTACCTATATTACAGATGGTAATTCAGTTTATTCCATGGCAACAAAAGTTCAGGAGAACTCGTAAACTATTTATTGGGGAGTTTGTCTTTTGATCGAGCAAACTTTCTTTGGCGGCGGTTTCAATAAGCAGTAGAAACTTCATGGTCACCAAAGATACAGAAAGCGATGGAAAATTAATGGAATAAAGGGAAGCGAGGCCCTCGCAGTAGATCTATGAGACTACTTATAAAAGCAATAACAGATTTATATTTAGCCATTTGTAGGATAAAAAGAGTATGCATATTTGCATAGTTGCCAATCATAATTGAAGCTGGTGATAGGTCATTTCATTAGTGTTATTGAAACAAATGTCCCAATAAGTCATATCCAAGATTTTGCTTTATTCAAGGAATAATAGATCATACGTCGGGCCCCTAATCATGGCCTTCGGGGTGTTTAAGTCGACAAACATCGACAATTTGTGGAGTTGCCAAGGTACGGTTATCCAAGCGAAAATATTGGTGATGGTCGATGGCTTCTTGAAAATGAAGTGTGGGTGAAATCTTTATTCAACTACAGAAATTAAGCATTCCCACGAGGTAGACTTGAGAGCCGACCTTTTTGTTTTTTGTAATGTTCCGAGAATGAGGCCGTGTTTTGTACGCCTTTTCTCTAAAAATGTGCAAGGCGTATAGGTCATGCTTTACAGCCAAATACACGGCATCTTGGCTACAAAAGCTGTCCTGCATTTTACCGTAACATGGGTTCTTTTAACACTTGCGTGCTTATGTCATTAACGAATTTCTCGGAAACATTATTGCGATGGAAAGGGACAAGGCAAAAATTTTGAGTCTGGCATTCTATTGTCAACAATTTACTTGTCTCTTTTTGAATTTGCGGTTGTGTACTCGGAAGCGCTGGGTTGAGAAATCCGTTGAACACGTGCACTTTTCAACACTCCGATGAATTTCTGCAGCCGTTTACGGAAAGCAGGTAGCACAAACAAGATTATCGACGCATCCAACGCTGGCATGGCTATACTTCCGGCTGTTGTAGACACCGCCACGTAAGGCAGAAAATCTTTTTTTGCTAATCCTGAGACAAGCAACAAGACTGGTAGGATAATCATGGAGAAAGGCATCATTGCCTGAAACAGTACCAATTAGGGAAACGTGCATCCCACTTACCTGTAAAAATAAGACCAGATTGAGATCGTAATTGAGTTTTCTTGAAGCGAAGGACCCCGTTTTTAGTCGTTTCAGCGTTTTGTAAGACAAATACAGAACAAGAAGGAAGCTGCAAAGCAGTATTGCGCTTATTATAAATTCGTGAATTCTTGAGGTAAGTGATGACTGAAATACAATTATAAATTTAATTAACCTGTTACTGGCTTACTTTATACAACGCACTCATTGCCGGATGATTGGTTAGATCACAGCCGGGAACATTATAAAATGTTGCATTCGTTAAAATCTCGGTATCGACGAAATCTGCGAGGTAGGAAAGGCAAAAGGAAATCCAGAAAATAAAACCAGCAGCAAACAGTTTGTAAAACTCTGTGTACTCGGTGTGGCCGCATGATAACAACCTGTAGCGAAAAAAGAATTGCAAAGGAGGCAAGGTCCCATGTATGTAGGTTATTGCAAAGCACATGCAGATGATCAGCCGGAGGAAAAATTCATTAGTAAGAGTGAAGAACAGAGGTCGTGCGAATAGAAGGTAGTGTGGGAAGTCTGATATGATTCGCTAAAAACAACAATGTCATACAGTCGAATACTCATGACGCTGAAACCCTAAGGCTCAAAAGAAACACGTGCCTCTTCGGGCCCTTTCACTTTATGTAAAGTTACTTACCGGATCAAATACGATCATGAATCCACTGTAGAATATGTTAAAGCTTGATGTCAGCATGATAACTTTTGTATAGAGCTTCAACGTCGTTTTCTGTTTTTGGCAGAACCATAATACGACGACATTCAGTGAAATTGAAAAAATAGATATCCCAGGAGAATAAAAATTGTAAACTTCTGCCCCAACAGTCGTACTGCAAGGAATAAGAAAATCGCCCATTCTAAACAGCGAAACGTTCGCTTAACACTTGTAACCAAGCATACTAAATTTACTGCAACAGTTTACGTACGTTAAAAATTTGTACTCAAATAAATGTAGGTTACGACTATGAATATGTCAGTAGTCTGTATGTATTTCACGCAATTCCCAAGTACATGCAAGTGCATGTTAAATTTTTAAAACTGAGCTTAAATCGTGTGTACATTTAAAATGTCAGAGTATCATGCGAAGACACTTTGGAACAACATGGGTGCATTGAGGACTGAATGTAGCACCTGTGTTACAATTTTTTTGTAACATAAAAAATTGTTTAAGTGTTTTCTCCCAAGGCTTGGCTGACGAGTCTTGTGGCACTCTCAAAGTAGTGTGTACTCCTTGAACCTACAAAAGAAGAAAATTGTTTCAAACTCTAATAGGCTGATGAAAAACATCAAAATACATGATGTTTCTCTTTCGGTGCCGCAACAAAGGCGCAGAATAAGACGGAGAGGTATTCATAACTTCAACTAAAAAGTACGACAAGAACTTGCAAAAACGAATACTGTATTGTATAATACCCTTTATGATAATGCGTAACGTGATGGCATTTCGTGGAATCCCGCTAAAATGCTATTAAAACTTCTGTAGGGCACCCTGGAGAACCAAAGAACAGTTGAACACATTGCCAAGCATTTTTGCTAAAAACAGATAACCTCGTTCACCTGATTTGTTAAGCAAAAAGTCTGTGATGGTAAGAACTGACTTTTTCAAGGGAATTACTGCTGCTGCTGTGTAGTAGGAATGAATATAAACATGCCCAAACAAAAAACGAAGTAAACCATGAAAGTGGTCAAGGCACATACGTTCTTCATGATACAATTTTGATGCACCCTGGCAAATAATTATTAAAGGTTCTTGCCCAGAAGGGCGATGTTTGACGATCGTATTTAAGCGCTGTAGATTACAAATCAATTCTTTTGATACCAAAATCTATATGATTATCAAATAATCTCCGACTAAAGTTCCGAGGACCACACATACGCAGAATTTACGGCTCCGCCAGCTACGGCTTCTTCCGCTCTTAATTACCCTCTAATTCCTAGCTGATCGTCTTCAAAATACGCATTTCATAAATCGCCCAGCTGATAATGACGCGACATAAATCAAACGGCCTTTATTAGACAGGCCCATGCCTCTTTGTTGGACCAACTGCATTCTAACTTCTCAAGAGTTCTTTCGGCATTTGGTACTTTGTTATTCCAAGTGAGTCTCACTAAAGATGATCTGTTTCATTTTGTGACGGATACGTGAGTAATGGATGACGTTGAATTTTAGTGTGCCAATGGATTTCTATTAATCTTCTGTACTACTAGTATTTTGTTTTTCGAATCCATTTTTAAAATGCTTTGTCGTTCAAATTTATATCTCAGATTATCTGTGGATACTGTAATTGTGGTATGCATCTTGACATTTGAAATGGGAGTTGAAGTTTCCAAACTTCATTTTAAAACAATGAAACTGCTTTTTTTCCGTTTGCAAGGCACCAGCTTAATCATGGCGTCCCTTGTAAATTTGAATGGCACGTCTTTTCGTATCTATTATGTTCTATGGACCCTACACAAACAAAGGATACAATCAGTATAACTAGCTCCCATAGAACGCAACCTGTTTGTAAAGAACTATTTCAGAGGTCCCAAGAATCAGCTTTAGGCCATAACGTATAGCAAAACATTAAAAAAATGGTCACTGTATGCATATGTAGAGGTTTCATTTTACAATGGTCACTGTATTATATCAGTCTGCCGGGAAAATAACAGCAGATCGCCGCGCCTCGGAATCGCCCATCATCGCTTTGCGACTGCGGCTGGGGATTTGGTGCGCGATAGCGGCGAGGCGAGACATTTTGCTGCGACCACCCGCCGTTATTTTCCCGACAGACTGATTTATAGAGGTTTGATTGAACTCTCAAATCTCACAATTCCGTCTCATTCTCACTCTAAGGACATAAGATCTAAACCGTGATAATTTTTCTCCGGAACCCTCCCTTCAAACAAAGTTTTGCCCTAAAATTTAATTAAATTCTATTTTCAAAAACAAACTAAACTTAAGCGCCCTTACGATGAAACGTTTTCGTTGTTAACGCCCTTGTCTCGCCGAAAGATTTATTTTCGGGCCGAAGACTTTTCCATTTTCATTATAATCAATCCGCCTTCTCTAAAAGTGCTCTTATTTTTGAATCAGAAGTTTTAGAGGTATTTTTGGATCAAGTCACGTGGATGCTTTAGAATATGGGCCATGACTGTGGCTACATGTACATGTACGAACCTAATAAAGAAATTTGAACTTGCATAGGAAGGGTCCAATTTTTCGAGCATTGGTCACATATCAGTTCGTGAAAATTTAAGCTCGCGGCTTGTCTGGCACAACAGCGGCCGCGCGCGGTATCTGCAATTAGAAATTTTTTGAGCTGAGAGAGTACGGGAAACGCTCAGAGCGGTCAGAGAAGAAAATTTTTTTTGTTTATTAATTCACGTGGGTGTCCTTAAGGGCTTAAATAAACTTAGAATGAATTCCATAACCTACGTGATAACTGCATGCACAAATTGCGAGACTAATCTATGATAGTTCAAATTTTTTTCCACTTTGTTTCTAAATTTCATCCAATTTTACTCCACTTTTTCAGCATTATCTCATAAAAAACATCTTCCCTTGAATTGCTCTGAGGCTGCATTCGACCGAGGCGTTCGGCCGCGCAGTTTATACGGCCATTAAATTCGAATAAAAAATATCTCCATGCGTTGGTTAGGTTTAAATTGGGGCGTGTTTGTCTGCATAAAAAACAATTTATCGCGACGGGAAATCATGGAGGATTTGACAATGTAAAGCCGTCAAAACAGTGTAATTGCGTGCACAGGTCGTTGTAATTGCTACTTTTTTCAAAAAATGCAAACAGTTACGCTTTTTGTTGGACGTGCCATTGTGGGCGATGACTCAAGCTGGGTAATATAAAAGGCTTATGGGAGAAATATTTTACTTTACGCCCGTTGAGCTTTACAAGTGTCGTCTCGACGTTCCGTTTTCAGACGTTTCATTTTTGTGATGAGCGGAAACTTAGAGTAACGCAAGTTCTTGGTTATTTTTTTCTCTCATTAGGCATTTTTGTTTTTTCTCTAGAAAAAAGAAGGATTAAACATCTCTTTTTTATAAGAGAAACCGTAAAACAACCCAAATTTATTTGATCGTCTTTGTTTAATCGTTAATTACCCTTACTCAATCATTTGGATTAATTTTAGCTTACAAAGAAAGTGCTTGAAGTGCACCGCTCGCATTTTCTTTATATGTGGTGCACACGTCGGGCATGGACCACATATTAAGGGGTAAAAGTTTTAGCTGGCGCTTTGAAGGCACAGCTGAGGTATTAGACAATCTTTACGGGCAAGAGAGTACGCGCAAAGCGGAGCACCGTCAGAGATAAACCCATCTTTTGGCCGTATCTTTAACGGTTTTGCATGGAAAAAATTGCGGTGGAACGCCTATTTTACGTACACTTTAATTTTCCTGCCCGGTCATTTTGTCATCGACCACCCACACTACTTGCCTGCAATTAATGTTATCTCCCAAAACGGAGATAAAACAATAAAACCCCTCATTCGAGATGAGTTTCCTTAATTTGACTCGAGTGAAAAAACGAAATAATCGAATTTGGCTAGAAACAACGTACACACCAAAAGTGATCCTAAGTGGAAGTGCAAATTTCGAGGAATTAAAATTAGAAAACGCGACGAGATAATTTGGCTTTACGCAAGTTGGCCATAGTATTAATAAAGCCGTAACACAAGTCGCGTAATTTGTCAAATCGCAAGGGTTGGATGATTGAATGACTACTTTGTTACCTGGATATAAATGGCAACTGTTTCCCTTTCTTTTGGTTTTTTTTGTAAATTTGTCTACAATGCACTTTAATTTTTATTTGTCCAGACGTTGTAAAAGAGCTTTTTGTTTCTTTCGTAAGCAGGGCAGAATTGGGGGTGCAAGGATCGGGTAGTCTTAATATTTTGCGTCAATCTGATTCGGCAACTTTCATGAAAGTTGCAGATAAAACCGAGATGATTCATAATATTTTCTGAAACCCCGAAATGGTTTGCCTCAATTGTTATTTTTTCTGTCGAGTTAAATTTGCGTCTTTTCAGCCCTTTGTAACACCACAATGCCCCAGCGGGCCGACCGCATGGTCGGCCACATGATGGGCGGTCGAGGTCCCGGCTCCAATCGCAACAGTGTCCTCATTTTGCGGCATCCAAATTCTTCTCGTCCAGGTTCTCTTCAAAGTTTTCGCACTCCACGTCTTCGCGAGAGTCGGCCACAATCTCGAGTCAGTGCGGGCAATCCTCCAACCTACGCAGAAGCCGAGGATATCCCATCAATTGATGGTGATGACTTTGACGAGGCTCGGTCAGCTAAGTACTCTGTGGTTGATAAGGACGGAGAGGTTGTGGGAGAGGTGGTGGTTGGGAACGGGATGATAGAAATGTTGAAGGATTCGGATATTGAGGGAGTCAGGCATCTGTCGGATGATCGATTCTCAGCAAGGTAAATAAATTAAACTCCAAATATAAAGCATGAGAAGACAGTCGGAGTTGAGCCCATATTTTTTTAAAATTTTGCCTGCATTACGTTTCCAAGAGACATGTACATATATACATGTAGAGCATTAACCTATAAGAATTTTGGATCTCACTTGCATAATCAGCTAACCAAAACCATGTTTTCAAAGACTCTATGTACCATGTTTTGTAAATCGAATTTGCTAGTCCATAATCGACTTACCATAATTTTACTATTCATTTTTCCCCCTATTGTTTTTCAAAACTAAATTAAAGGGCACTCCGCTACAAATAAACTACCTAATCTTTAGCTCAAACGCAGTAAACCCCCTCGTAATCAATTATTATATTTTCCCCTTTCCCAAATTGCAACAAGTCTGTTGAATCTTTTTTCAAAGAAGTTGAAATTCCATAGCTTTGAACTATGTCTGTTCGGACATTGCTTTCGGGAAGATCGATCTTTCTCTCTTTTTTTCTTCCGTTTGACACTCGGATGAAAGGCCTTGGGGAACATTAAGCAAATCAAGGTTGATTGTTTGTTTTTTTGTCCACTTAACGGCCCAAAGCGTATTTTAATGAATGCCCGAGGGTGTTTTATGAGCTGTTTTTGCACTCGGTAATAAGAAATGTTCGCTCGAGTTGTGGATCGGAGATTCCGAAAGCACTCAGTGCATCACCCGCCGAGCACTTATAGCAGGTAGGGCAGGGATAAGAAACTGAATTTTTCTGACAAGGATTTTATACTAAAATTACTGTATCTAGTTTTTATGAGCACTGAAAAGAAATGACTGTAAGAAAAAACTATCGGTATGCAAGCCCTATTGCTTACAAAATCCCAATTTCAGACTACTATGGGGAATCGTAATCGTCGTGTTTTTGTGTCTGGCAATCTACCAGATTGCTACACAAGTTCGTTTATTCCTAAAAACACCCATCTCAACGAATATCGAAGCACATTACCCAGCAGAAGTACCATTCCCGGTGATTGCCATATGTAATAATAATCAATATCGCTTAACTTATTTGACTGGAAAACGGCTACTCAACAGGCCAAGGAAGTTCAAAGGGGATAGTAAAAATTCAACGGATATTTATGACGAGGTAAGTTCTTTAATCTTGATGATATTGGTTTCACAATTTCATAATTATATTTTTTGAATTTTCAGGCTCTCCAAGCAGCTTGGGATTACGATGCGATAAAATTCTTGCGCAACGCAGCCCATTGGAAAAGTCGAATGATAATGGACTGTCATTGGCCAAATGGAACCCGTTGCGTAAATCAATTCAAGGCCATGTGGACGCTAACCGGACTCTGTTGGGCCATAAATACTGATCCGATGAATCCAATAACAGTCTCCGGTGCAGGCAAGTGCAAGCTTGCAAAATCTCTTAAGCTTTTCTTAAACTTTATTTGTTTACCTATTATTTTATTGCTTTCAGGGCCAAGTCACGGCCTCCGGCTCTTGCTAAATATTGAAAGATACGAGCGAATTGAAAGTTGCACACCAAAATTCAAAGCTACAGGATTACCCGGGCTAAAGATCCTTATTTTCAATCAAAATCACTCGGCGATATCCGGGAATGACGGAGTGAATGTGCCTCCAGGGTATTCCATGGACATACCCTTTAGGGTTCAAGAGGTAAATATTTGTTTTCTTTTTTGAAATACTATACTTCAAGACAATTCTAGTGATTTTTTGCACTTTTAGCGTCACAAGTTCCCGGGAAAAACATGCATTCAAGAGACCGAAGAGCAAAAATCTACAACTTATACCTCTTTCGATGACCCGAACAATCTCAGAACTTGTGTGATCCGCCGATTCCTTCAAGATGTAGAGTACAAGTGTAATTGCTCGCTAAAAAGGGCATATGATCCAACTGGAAGCGGTGAGATTTTTTAAAACTTTCCCTCAATCTTATGGCCTTTAGAAAGTCTTCCAGCCTGCAATGTTCAGGAATACTTTAACTGTGTTGATCCTATCAAAAAGCAAGGGATGAATATGGGCTTCAATCAATATAATTGTGAAACTCCATGCGATGAAATCGATTACATTGCGTGGCAAGATATGAACGAGCTTCCAATGAACATCTTTCCCAAAATTATCGATACAGAGAGCAATGATTCGAGTGAAGAAGAGGACGATGATGATGTTGAAGTGGAAGATGAGGATACAGTGAGTCGTCATAAAGATGATCAAGTTGTAAAAATAATTTCAGTACCCAGCAGAAATCCTTGAAAGTATAAAATGCGAAGAGAACCAATTGCTGGACGAGAAACAAGTCGCTGACGTGAAGTTGTATGCCCACAGAGCCTATGAAAAACAAGCAAGATATCAGGAAGATATATTGATTAGAACTAAGAGACTGATCGGAAGGGTTAATCAGACTGCTAACAGGTATGCAACCTCCATTGTGTATTGTGTAATTACGTCAGGTTGATTGAACTTCAATGGGGCTGGAATGACGACGATTTTGTTGGAGTTTACGAACGCTTGCATAAATATGTCCCTTGTTTTGCTAATATGACCGACCGCCATGCCGATGTCTTTGCTGCAATTCGATCTCCAGCCAGTCACAGTGAAGAGCACAGGTCAAAATTACTGTATCAGCTAGTAAACCCTACCGGATATAAAGCTAATTCCGTAAGATTTTTAAAGATTGTTCAACCTTGTTCAGGAAAAATTTAAAACATTGGCGGATGTCAAGCGAGAATACGGAGAGAAGGCTGAAATCCGATTGGATGAGATGACGAAATGGGAGGGAGTTTTAGAAAGATTGGCGTCGATTTATGACGAGCAAAATTATAACCACAAGTTATCGGAAAAGTTGAAGAGAATGAATCGAATTATCACGTTGATGGACAATTTTGACAAAGGATTGCTGCAAAAGAGGGCTTGGGCGGACAAAATGAAAAACCGAAATATGGATCATTTCTTCGATGAGGACTTTTATGAGGTAACTTAACAAGAACAAGGTCTTACATTGGCTTTAGAACTGGTACAATGTCATCATCAAGGACATGGAGGTGAATATTCTAAAAACAGTGTCCAATATTGAGCACGCCCTTCCTGATGCTATGAGCTTTATTGCGCGAGGAAAGGGGCTTGATGTAAGTGCCAAAAATTAAATAAATCTCTGTTCCCAATGTCATATTTACTGTATAAAAATGTTGATTCTTTTTCAGACCGGCTCCGTAATCTTATTTGGCGACACCAGCAATGAGCATGTGCGTATGTTCGCCAATTTCATGGACGATGCGTTGTCTTGCACGTTTGACGAAGTCCGAAACCAGTCAGCCATCATTTTGGAAGAGTTTAGAAAAGCGATGCATGATTTCCAATCGGCTTACATCAATTTGTTCAAAAAGGAATTGCCGGAATATTTGGAAAAGTTTGAGTTTGGCCATAAATTCGTGAAGGAAAATTTTGCCGAAGTAAACGTCTTCTTGCACAAGATGAATGTTGAGATCTGGCGGCAGGACTCGACCTACAGTATCTGGAGTTTGTTCTGTAAGTCAAAAATTTCGAAAGCAGACAAATAACGAAATTTTAAGGCGACGTTGGTGGAGCCTTGGGTCTGTTTTTGGGTGCATCATTACTCACAATCATCGAATTCTTCTACCTGTGTTTCCAATATGGCTTCTGTAAAACGGAGAATCTTAAACCTCAAAAACTGTAAGAGAGTTATAAAAACTAACAGTTTGATAAATTTAACTCATTTGCAGAGACAAAGAAGAAAGTTTGCAGTTGTCTGACAAACCAACTAATGAAAAAGCCGAAGCCTTATGACCATAACACCTTTGAATTTCTATCGATCTCTGTAAATTTGATCTCGGTGGACCTTGACGTCCAAACTAAATACTACCTTGTCTAACATGCCTTCTGATCTCTGCTTATTTTTAAATGAGAGTATAACTTATGAATAACCTATTGAATAAACTAATTAATATTTCTGAGTTTATAATATTTGAAGAATAACATCACCAATTCAAATTTTAGGAAACTTTACGGGAATAGAATGAAAAACAGTGCGCAAAAGAAGGCCCGGAAAACTTGGAGGAGATGGAAGAACAGGAAGAATAAAGATTATCACGATCCCGAGAGTAGCAATGAATCAGATGAAGAGCCTTTTGATGATCCAGAATGGGGATTCAACAGACCAAAACGTAGTCATCCTGTTGTCAGATACTCGCCGTTGAGCGAAGTTAAAGAGGTATGGGAATTTCTACCGGTCCGCTTCATTGGATATCATAAAATAAAAGTACTAGTCGCGGAAAAAAGTCCTGGGAATTTTCTGCGACTCTGCACTGTGCATGAACCCGAAAAGTGGATTTGCACAGTGCAATTTTGTTGATTTTGGCTTATTGTCGCGCGAGATTCCCGCGACAAATCAACTTTTCGGAGCGCGACGGAGTTTGGGGGCCGCGAGAAATTCCCAGGACTTTTTTCCGCGACTAGTACCAAAGTTTAGGTCGACATCGAGGATGAACCAGAATCCCAGCACCAGGCTGCGCCGTCAAAGTTTTCAAAACTGAAGGACAAATTGAAACGAAGAAAGAAACCGGAAGACGAACCAAAACCACAAGTGAAACAACAAGACGAATCTAAAAATTCCAGTAGCTCGTCAAGTTCAACTAATTCGTCAGGTAAGCAAAAAAGTTGCCAAGAAATGGACTGTTCTTCCCAAAAAAACCCGCCTTTACTGCGTAATTTTCCACAGTGCACTTTTGCCCTTTTCCAATGCCAAAGGAACACAATTTTTCTCTTTCCCTTCCAAAATCCCAAATTTCAAAAGGAAACGCGCGACAAAGAAATCGCGGCGACAAACCGAATCGCGCGCGACGTCTTCTCTCTCTTTCAATTTTCTCTGTCGACTCCTTCCAGTGCGCTCAATCCTCAAAACATTTTGTCGCCGTGATGAAAAGTTGCCGCTGCGACAACCATTCTGCGACAAAAAAATCTGGAGCGATCTGCAAAATTTCGAGCAGGTGTCATGGGTGATGTCGCAAAAATTCATGGACAAAACAGCTTGTCGCCCTGCAATTTTTTGCCGCGATGGCGAAATTCGAGCTGTGAGAGGGCCTTTTCTTGGCTTTTGACTTTGATTGCACAGTGCAAAAGGCTTGGAATTTGCACAGTGCAGTGAAAAAAAAGCATTCAGAAAATGTAGCGAACGAAAGTTGGTTTAAACTGAAAGTTGAGTGCTTCAAAAGTTGTCAGCTTGCGTACAGTTATTGAAAAATAATTCTTTCAAGCATAAGTCCTTCAAGATTTGCTTAATCAAAACCAGTTTCTATCAAATTTTTCTGAAGGCTTCCTAAACACCTTTTTCAGATTCAGTTTTCCTGGATATGCTCACGGAACGTCCGCACAGTAGCCCGGACGTAAGTTATACTCCTCCGGCAAATGTTTCTCAGCCAGATCAGAAGCAGCCTTCCTCTTCAGGTCAAAAAGGTAAAACAGTTTTGACCGATTTCCCATTTCATATCTTGTTTTTGTATTGCGGCAGTCATCGCTTATTTAAAGTGCCCTTTCCAGCTTCTCAACCACTTGAAACCGAAGTCCAGCCATCCACTTCAACATTCCAGCCTCCACCCAACATACAACCAAACGCTCAGATAAACGAATCACCGACAATTCAAGTACCCTCTCCAACACATTCAACGACACCCCCGTCCGATCCTGACCCTCTTTTCCGACGGCCCAGTAATCGGTCAGAGAATACAACAAGCAGTTTGACCACTGATCCTGCAGTTCCTCGTCTTTTGACATCTGGCGATGAAAAAGAAGAGGCAAAGAAGAAACCAAGGCAGAAAAAAGAAAGGCCAAATAGCGATATAGATAATGACGGGGTGATAAAAGATGACGAAGAACCGAGTCAGAAATCGAACGGTAGCAATGGAAGCGGGAAACAAACAATCGTATAACGGTTTTAGATATTTAATTTTTTATTTTTTCAAAATTTGAAAGCGAATTTGATAAACATATCCGTGTTTTTCTGTGAGGTAAATTTGTCGCCGCTAGTGACTATGTTAACCCAGAAGATACAAGTGTACTTTCTGGCGGCATAACTACCAGGATTTCTTCTTCTTTGCCATATCGTCTGCATGTTGCATAATGAAAGGCCATACGAATCTTTGACGTTACAAGATTTCGGTACGGTTTGACAAAGTACAAGGTTATCGCTGAATTGCAGGTACCATACATCTCAATGTAAAGAAGAAAGAGTCTAGAAGTACTGTAGTCCATGTATCCGTAGGGATAATTTACAACTACCCAATAGCTGACTGGAGCCATTATGAAAAAGAATGGAGTGGATAACTGAAATTTCTACTCTGAATTTTATGATACAATAATACTCCGCCATCAAATATAGCATGCCTACCTGTAAACCCAACGCAATTGTGAGTTGTCTGTGAAGTCTATAGGTAGCCTTTGAGAAGCTGGCCTTCTTGCTCTCCAGTTTCCGAAGCAACATGTAAACGCTGCCGACAGACACAAACTCAGCTGTCATAAAACCACAAAAGATAAATATTGCAGCGCCAAGGGAATGTTCCGTTGTAGGCGGAAGGTACAGTATTACTTGGTTAAAATCGGGTAAAGTTGCGTTTGGAAAAATCTTTGCGACTTCCAGGATCTGCCGATGGACCTCCTTCAAATGACAAAAAATATTGAAACTTATCTATTAAGTGACGGGTAAGACTTACATCCACTGGAAAAACAATTTTCGCAAAAATGAAAACACTGATCAATGTGTAGATTGTTGTGGATATCACATATCCGATGACATATGCCTTCCAGTCCGACATAAGAGCGAGAAGTTTTCTGGTGTCTAATAAGACCGCAAATCGATAAACAAGACATATACATTGAGTTGTGATTGCATGACCGCCAGTTACAATAATCGAGATCATCTGAAAGCCAAGGCTATGCGCCATTGAAACCTTACACAAATTGTCGCTCCATTGTCTCCGAAATACCTGTACCAGCCTTTGACGTAAGCACCATTAAACGGAAATATTGTATCGGGCTTGATTAATGTGCCCAAGTTGAAGGAGAATATGAAATCGTAGATCTAAAAACATTGGAAATACCTGGAGAAATTTTAACCTTACAGTAAAATGGATTACATGGTACTTGTAGACCCTCATACTGCTCGGTGAGTGAAACAAGACTATGTAAATAACAAGCAGTGTAAGCGCGCTGGAGAAGAATGTGACAACTTCAAAGATTGTGTCAAATAAAAAGACTAAATCCATTTAATCATAACGAAGTATGAAGGGTTTTAACACTGCGGGGCGTGTGTTCAATGGTTTCCGTAGGTGTCGGATTCAGGTGTCCTTACAACTTTGTCGTTTAATAATTTAAAATGCCGGTGGATTCAAGTTTTGCAAGTGTAAGGCTTAGTAATTCTTACTATTAAGAATTTTGAAAGATAAATCTATCAGAACTACAACAGAGAACTGCTTCCTTCAATTTCCATGTATTTGCAATGGACGTTGTTGGATTCATTGTCATTACAGTATAGCTAGATTGACTTTTATCGTCTCGACAGACAACCATATAATAAATTCCCCTGCTTCTTTGTGATGTAAAAATAAGGTTGGTACACGAGATATTACTCCATCTTTCGAAAAATAGTTATGGGACAGTCCAGTAGCTTACTGGTGCCATAATAAACAAAAACGATGTGTGTAACTGTGGAATACTGAAGTCGTAGGATGCTATAATGTTGATCTACCTATAAGCCCTACATGATATCCAGTTGGCAAATTGGAAGAGAATATCAAGGAACAAAACAAAATCTTATTCATGCATGGTATAGAAGTCAAAAACTTTTTTCCTTTTAAAGATTCTGTTCCAGGTGTGATTATTATTGGGTTTTATTATACAAAAGGACAAACGTTTAAGTTATTCGAAATCTGCAATGAATGCATACGGCCGACTGGTGTTGAAATCAAAGTGAAGAATTTTAATGCTAGCTTTCACCCTACTCTTCAACTCAAACCTTAGCTGCTAGCATTCATAAATGCATTTAGCAACGTTTCTTTTAACAAAGCCAGATTACACTCTAAAAGACCGGAACACACACTATAACCGTGTTACAGTAACTTCATGAATTGTTTTCCGTCTGACAATAAGGATAATTAGTTTTTCTAGAAACGCGTAGGAACACCAATTGTGGCATTTCAAAGCTCGTTCTACTAAATTTATTCTTGTCTTGGTGTTTTTGTAGGCGTTTACTCATTCAGTTCAAACAGAGTTAGTCAATCGAAAATTTAATTTTATGACTTTGCGCTTTCTTCGATTAGTCCGAACTGTGCTTGTTATGAGGTATTACAGACCGAAAATAAACGCATAATTGAAATTATCAGATTATACTGTTTTGGACCTTTTTTGTTTTGTGAATACTAACTGATAGCGCTAGTAGTGTTTTTGTGGAAATGGGACGGTAAGTGTGCTTTGTTAAAAAAGATTTTCAAATCTTGATGCCTTTGGGTTCAAATCAGATGCCTTTGTGAGGAGGGAAACGCTGCGCCATGGTTTTGAAAGCAATTATCTTCTGCAGTCCCATGTCTGCAAGAATGCTTGCAGCATTGTTGACACACACTATACCCCATAGAGTAATGAACGCCAGAAAAATATTCCAAATTCACTTCATTGTGCCAAAGAATTTCCGTTTTCCGTTTTTTCCCATGTGGCCAGGCAGGTTATATGAGTGGAAATGTACTGAATCTCATACGGTACCCACAGGTCCCACATTGATTCCTAGAATGCCCACTTGGACTGCGTGGAAGCGTAGCACATAATACAAATCGTTTGCACTTATTTTGGAATATTTATTGTATTTTTGCTGCCATAGATCCCTATCTTCTTGATATAAATATCCATGATTTTTTGTACCCATCGGGTAAACTTGGATTTACATTTTGTCCACCCATTTGTAGCAAAGAACACATGTGCGATGAAATTCAACTTTGCAGAATTACCGTGATTGTAGTATCTTCAAAAATATTTCAAGTTGTAATGTTCCGGGGGAACAATGAATTTGCAAAAAGTACCAAACCCTTAGCTAATTATTGAAAATGTTTTGGGCACTTGGCCATTATAATTTTATGGTTTTGAAATTGAATTAGATTTTTGAATATTCATATTACAATAATAGCCATGTATTCTGTGACGTACAAGATCTACGAGTTTTCACCATCATATGATTTTATCATGTTAGTACATACGGCCATGTTTTTTCGGAGATTGTAGACCTAATGTCGGCCATTTTCGTCCCATACTCAAATTGTCCTTTACCAAAGTATTGACCCAGCTACAAACAGAGTTCAAGAGGCTATCCGATGTTTCGACCTTGTATTATATTACTAAAGTTCTGAAGTTTTGAATATCTTCACCAAAGAGTAATTAATTTTTGTAGTTTTCAGTACAGCTATCCTCCGTATATACATATAGTTTAAATTTCCTCAAAAATGGAACCTTGAAACTTCCTGCCTCTCACCCCAAATTCATTGTGAAATGTAATTGCTGCGTTTATGCGAATTTTCACCAATGGATTTCAGAATTGTCATTGATGAATTTACAAGACTTAGTATGGCGGCAAGCCCTTTGATCCCGCTGATCGGATGTTCTTATACGCTTTCCGCATATCTCATTGCTCTAATCATCATATTGTCTTTGGTTTGTCGGAATTGGAAGACCTTGGCGTTGCCCTTACGAATATGTATGGTCGATTGGATTATTTCGTCCTTATCTGTGGTGCCTTTCATGTCTTATATTATTTTCTGGTGGGATGGAGCCGGTAAGTTAGTTATGATTAAATGAAACAATCAAGGGTATGTTTAGATTCTCTCTATGATATGACAGTGATGTTCTGGGTCGGTGTTCCCTACTTTAGCATTGTTTCGCCAGTATCAATTGGTGTTTTCTCCCTGACACTTGATAGAATATTTTCGCTACTCTTGCCAATTCATTACAAAAAAGAATACCGGTATCTTCTTCATGCAATAAATCTGATCGTCCAGTTAAGCTTGTTCTTGGTGATATTTTTGCTCGAGAGAACGGACACGGCGCCGCCGAACACTTTGAAACGTAAGCTGAGTCACCGTTTTGCCAATGAACGATATTTCAGATTGCATGGCTGTTGGATGTATGACAGCACATTCGGGTGTCTACATATCGCAGTTTAAACTAGCGGTCGGAATCTTGAATACGACTGGTGCCATTGTTTTTGCTGTTATTTTTGCCAGATTCAGTCGACGAAGGGTAGTGCCAACAAAGGAGTCAAACCGGCGGAGTCAAAGACAGGCCAATTTCTTGGCAGCTATCGCTGTAGTAATGGAATTCTGCTTTAATTGCTTGCCGAATATTGTTGGCTTGGCATTTCAAACAGTAGGTTTCTTACAATTTCACATTGGTTAGAGGCTCTAAAAAAAACTCTAACTTAGAGCAAAAGAGTAAGTCTGGAGGCCCAAGTTTTAGAATTGAATTAATAATATAATTATAATACTTTTTCGGGTTTTGTTCTACTTACTAATGACTTCAATGTTGCAATATTTAAAAAATCAAAGTTTAGTTATGTCTTGACCTAACCATTTGTTTGTAAACAAGTCATCATAACTTTTCCATGATTCCAGATCTATGGCGTTCTGCCCAGCGGAGACATTGGACCTTATCTCTCGTACTTCCTTGGCACAGAGACCCTCTGCATTTCTTGTTTATACCTCCGTGTCCTCGGCAATCCTTACAAAAAACCTCGCAAATCGACGCTGGTCACAATAGCTAAGGCTTCAATCTCGCGACCAATGCCAGCGACATCTTCAACAATATAGATGAAGATACATTTTACGCTTTTGACGGTTTTGTAGTCTAACTTGCCCTGTTCCTTGTTAAATTCTACCGAAGACGATTTACAAAACTACATAGTTCGTTGCAAAAATCAACCTTGTATTTGTTTTTTAACAACCTATATAAAACAATAACGGTTATTCTTTGCTAACAGGATTTCAAGCAATAAAATTGTACCAGCGATTAAAAATAGGGCTCCACAGACAATTATAAGGCCATTGAAGAAGGCAGTTCCTAAAAAATCTGCATAAGTCGGCTTATCATCAGCTTACGCAACGGTTGTCCAGGCCGGAATTTGTTGCAGGCCGCCGTTGACGTGAGACTTGTATACCGTTTATAAATGTTTTGGAATCTCAGCGAATTCTTTGCAATAATTTGGTTAATCTTTGGCAGCAACGTGCTGTTCTTTGGGAACAATAGATGCGTTCCCACTGGTGGAAATGCCACGTGAGTTTTCACAATCTCACAATGTCTGATGGCATGCACATATCCAACCCAGTCCTTCTGAGTGTACATAAGGGCGCCTTCGTCTCTCACCATTTTCAAGGCTTCTAAAAGTACGTTTGCTAATTAGTAAAATCATCTCTTTGCAACAAAAGTAGGCTACATTTTTATGCACTCGTGATCCAAAAATAAAATATTGAAAGGACGCGAACCTTTATGTGAGAGTCCAGCAACTAATTTTCGGCCTCTCAGAGCGTCCTGCAGTTTCTGGAAAGACGTGCCTACAGACGATGTTTGATCCCGAAACCAATTCTCTGATCCCTCTGTGACCAGCCTCCTTCTACCGCTGGCGATCTCCGCAAACACGTAGCTGCTTAACTTTAGGTTCGAATAACTCGGTGTCCGAATTAATGACGAGAGAAACCATGATGTGAACATTCCAACTATCACGGTACCTTGTAGCAAAGCAAACAGAAAAAGAGAAAACCTCCCGGAGGAAAAGCGAAAATTGACTTGCCCAGACTGGAAGAATTGGATTCGAACTACTTGCCAGACTATCTGAAAGAATGATTGAGTAAAAGGTGATCTTTACCGAACAAAGCCCGTGTTTCGTCTGTAAACCCGCTTTCGCTTCAGCCTTTGCAACCACATATGCAAAGACACATTGAAGAAAAAACAATAGTCCAATTAAGCACCAACTGTAAGTATCGTATATTCTGAAAATGCTCCACCAATTCTCATCGATGCCGCCTGAGGCGCGAATTAAGATGTATGAATCTACCTAAAAAAACACTTGAGGTAAATCAATTCTATGATATAGCAAGAGAAACGTCTTACCGTATAAAGGCTATGAGTCAGATCAACGGTTTTCCGCCTGTCCTCAGTATCTTGAAAGGGAACCCCAACCGTATCGATCTTTCCGGCCTGTAGAATCTCATGCATCCGGCTGTAGTTTAAGCTTTCGTTTGTATCCACAAGAATATGCAGCCTATATCCCAAGGCGTTTGTTATCGCGGAGATTATCTAAAAGTCGTGTTAAAACATTTGGTGACATTTACTATTGTGATCTACATAGCTTACTTCAACCATTAACCCGGGAAAAGGGCAACTAAACCTATTGTAGCCAAGGTTTCTCAGACTCTCGTAGGCGCACTTTCGGATATACGGGAAATAATCGGGGAACAGCACATGTAAGATCGGTCGATCGTCAGTAAAATTTTGCATCAAAGAATAGAAAGCACATTAGTTATACATACGAAATTTATAACTCAAAACCAATAAAACGCCTTTTTTGGAATTGTGTTTTATGTATAGAATTACATAAGACATATATGACACCTGGATTTGAACATATGAAACCTGGACCTAATGAGTTCATGAATCTGAAGACCTTTTTTAAACCTGTTAAAATTTCTTTCATTTCATTTTTCATTAGATTTTTTTGATGATTTATTGTATTATTTCGCTTCTACAAGCATTTTTCTATCAGCGAAATGTTTCATCTTTGAGGTGTTCTTTATACGCTTGTTGGAATTGCATCAAATTTCAAGTGGCCTTACGTGCATCTAGACCTATTCACACAGTAGTTTGTACCTTGACAAACATAAATTGTACGCTGTAAAAGGGAATAAATCGTAATACGAAATCACTCATTACTACAGAATGCCGTTAATAAACATATATTTTGTATTGTAACAATGATACTAATTTTTGTATTTCTTTGCATCGCTCGCTCTAGTTTGTAACGTCTTTAATGCAGTTACATCGCGTGAAAACAAAGTCAAATAAAAACACAAAAGAATGGGAAGAGAACTTTGATCATTAAACCTGTCTGCAGCAGATTTAAGAGTGTTAATTACCGAGCGGAAAATTGTTTTGTCTCCATTCAATAGGTTGATCATGTTTCGTAGGATTAGAAGATGTTCCCGTATGCGCATATCTTATTTTTGGATGATTCAGAGTGTGATTTGTGTCTCTCAACGGGCATCAATCAAATGGTCAGTTGATTCTTCTTTAAACTATTCCAGCTGATATTCCTACACCTTTCGGTCGTCATGAATGCTTATTGCCCTATTCGGTTGTCGTTTGTAATACCTAGTGTAATATGATAAAAAAATCTACTTTGATATGGCCGAAAGTTTTCCAGAAAGTCTCATCTGGCATGTTATGAAAGCTTCTTTTCTTATTGTCTTGTCCTCTTTTCCTATTTCATCAACCAGCTGATTCGGCGGAATGCCAACCAACTTGGACGAAATGTCACAGAAATTATTTATTTTCTCGCGTCTCCTTTAATCGCGAGACTGGTCGTGGGGTGTGGTGGAGATGAACGCGCAATTGTGTTCGCCGGTGTCAGGTTGTCTGTGGTGGAGATCGGGATTTCCCAAAAAAATTTCCAAAATCTACTTTGATTTGTAAACATTCCGTTTTGAATCCGCATTTCGAACGGATTTAGACAAGCTGGCGAACAAATCTAGTACATTATTAGTGTTTTTTTCGACCGATGTTATCTATGCTCCAAGTCAGCTTATTTTTATCAGTTCCGAAGCAAGCCCATGTTATCCATGGTTGAGTTGGCTGAAACACGAGTTTATAGAAATTTTACGCTGAATGTTATTCAGCGTAAAATGTCTCAGAGCTAATCTTTATTACGAAGCTTCGGTTTCACGTATTTTTATTATCGCTAAACAGTTTTTATTGCTTTTCGTAACGACATTGAACTTTTGGTGTCTTTGTTGTTGATTTATCCTCAAACTGCTGTTATTCATGCGGAAATTTATTATACCCCTCGCTAATTTGTTGGCAAAAATATTGTTTTGACAATTTTTTTCATTTCGGATTTCTTTTCAGGCTGTGGTCCCATATTTTTGACTGACTGAAGACATTGTTGTAGTTCTAATGAATGGGAGGATAAAGAGTCGTCCGTACCCTCCGCCTGGAATCCAAATCAGTGAATTCATAAGCCCACGGCCACCGCACACACCAACAGCCTCAGAACCAGAAGTTTTATGCGATCTGGATGAGGATCCAGTCCGAGCATTGGAGAGATTCTTTGTCCTAGGAAATTCGACTCCAACAAGATCTGTGAATAATGACACACCAAATAAGAAGCGTAAGTTCTTTTGTTTTGTTTTCTTTGAAGTTTAGATAAACCGCTGAATCGACCTGCTAAACGAATTGAATCCAGCATGATGTAGGATCTTTTCTTAGCTTTATTCATGACTAAGATAACGGTGGTTTTTTTAGAATATGCATTCAAAGGACTGAATGTGATTGATATCGGCCGTCAGTTCTTTGGATCAATCCCCAAGGAGTCGTTGTTTTCTCGATTTATGGAGTTGTATGCAGCTATACCTGATTATCTGTCGAATGAAAGGCAAAATGTACTATACAGAGAAGGCTTAACGCATGCTCAGTTCTTTTTCAAGGTGAGGCACGGCTTTGCTTTTCTGAGTGGGATCAAAAAGTTTGCTGTTTTCAATATTTTCCTCGATTTGTATCTAAATTAATATAATTTTTAGACATTCCTTTTATTCTGTCGAAGTTTGAACCCAAAAACATCAGTGAGGAAGAATAATACAGCCAATACTGTCTTCAAGCCATGTATTTCAATGACCGAGGAGCAGACGGATGGCTTTATGCGGATGTTGGCGCGTATTGAGTTTCCTTTTCGTTGTAAAGTATGGAGTCTAATCGCATCGTCAAGAATAATGTGTGTATTTGGTAATCAAAAGCTGGAGGCTGCTATTTTGGAGGCGAAGAACTCGAAAGAAGTAACGTGAGTGTTTTAATTTTGACTTTCCTGCAGTTTTTAGGCACAAGGTAACCTAAAATTATATGATTTTAGTTTCTGTGCCCTCAGCTTTGCGCTTCATCGATATGGCAGTGCGTTTAACACGGAGACAGATCTTCAGACATTGTTGTTGTTGGGAAAAGCGAGTGGCCAATTTGTTGAGGACTTCCTGGGGAAACGATCAGATGGGGCCAGAGAGTTGGCGAGGCAAGCTCTAAATGAAGCCGAGAAGTGGGGACTGGATGAGGAATTATTTTTAATGGCAAGAAAACGTCTATGCGACGAGAAGAAGCAACGGGTCCTACGATTTGAAGAGTTCTCTCATAATATGGGAGACCTGATGTGCGAATTGAGAAAAGGTAGGTAAAGACAAGTTTAAAAATGGATATTAGAACTGATAGGTTAAAATTTTACTTTGGACAACAGAAAATACATTCTCGATAGAAAGTTTTTGTTACAAAGTTTCGTCTTATAATTTCTTCCGGGGGTTTTTTTTAAATTTCTTATATTATCCATGTCCATTTCAGAAATGCCCCGGTGCAATCAAATCTCAAAGCCGTGGGCCTACGTAGCCTTCTCGAAAGCCCTGCAAAAGCGTTATGGAACTGGCGAATGGGGAATTGAACACCTCTATGATCTTATTTATTGTCTTCTGAAGCAGCGACCAGAGATGAGAGCCCACGTTGTAAAAGAACTGAGGGAAAGATGCTCAGACCCTAAGGCAGCTAGCTTTTGGCAACATTTTGACTTCACCCAGGACTCCGAAAGACAGCGAATGCAAAAATTGGCGACGAATTTGGAGAACAGACAACGAAAACAGGCCATGGAAATTGACCATCTTAGATTGCCGGTTGGAGTCGATGTTTTCGTTGTGGATAATGCCTTCAAATTGGCTTGTATCGAGCATAATTTGAGGAGCGCTCAGAGCAATGGGAAATATTCGGTGATTGTTGGGCTGGATGCGGAATGGTCGGCTTATGTTTTGACTAGCAGGTATAAATTTTTTGCATTTTTTGAAAATTGAATAGTGGGATATATTTTTTATTATTTTCAAATTGACGGTCTTGTTTTCAGAGCGTCGATTATCCAGATTGCCTTTGAAAAGACGGTCTGTCTTGTCGATCTTGATCAAATTGATGATCATGGAGCGTTAACTGACTTTATGAATCGTTTATTTTTGGATGAGAAGATCCTAAAGATTGGCTTCAGATTTGGCGAAGATCTAGTCCAAATTCGAAGAAGACTCCCGAGCTGTAATAGTCTCTACGAACCGGAAAGCTTGGTCTGCATCGCGAGAATTATTGAAGAGGTATGTTAGCGATTATGTGAATAAATAATTATGTTATTCCATATTTTTTAAAATTTGATTCCAGCTGATCAGAATCACCTTATCAAGAGGATTAAATCCAGAAAACTTTATTAATCTCGAAAGAGCGGATGAGAGGATTGAAGGGGATGAAAAAGAGGCTATTATTCCGGCGGAAACTTCCGTTGTCTTAGATGTAGAAGATGAGGATACCCCTCCACCAACTCCGAATGACAAAGAAAAGCCAAAAGAAGAGGGATCATCCATCAAGAATCTTGGCTTGTCCGCACTGTGCACAGCTCTTCTTGGCTTTGATTTGGACAAGACGGAACAGTGCAGTGTTTGGGATAGAAGACCCCTAAGGCGGTCACAGGTGAGTATTCGAAATGATATTCGATTTATGAATGATTCATGGTTGTATGAGGTTTTATTTGACCTTGTTTTAGATCCAATACGCTGCTCTAGACGCTTATGCCATGCTCATGTTGTTCGAAGTTTGCCGTCAATGGGCAACTCAACTTGGTGAATCCATTGACGACATAATTGATAAACAAGAACCCTACAGAATCCCCCTCCCATTATTGTTCGACAAAACCCAACTCCAGTCTTACAAAGACCGCCAGGCACATCAGAGCAAGGCCTGGGATGAAGCCGAGTAAATATATTATATTGTGTTAGTCTTATGTAAAACCCATACTGTAGGTCTTGAATTGGACGACTATTTAATATCTTTCTGGTTTTTCAGAAGTCAGAATTATTTTCGTAAATATAGATTTTTTAACATTACTTTAGGTAATTAAACGAATATTTCCATACAATAGTTAGAACGTAAAAATCGGATCAAAATATATTAATAATGTACAATTCACGATCCTACGGCTATATCAACGTTGTTCTCTTATCGTATAAACTTCGTTGTTGCACATCTTCCAATGTTTTTTGTTAGAGATCCATTAGATAACATCACTTCTTTCGTCTTTTTTTATCCTTTCATCTAGTTTGTCGGCGGAATGTGGCATCGAACATGCTTTCTAAACTGCGTTAATTTATTTTGACAAGTATTACAACACCTCCGTTTTTTGTTGTTGAATCTCTCGTCTGTGTTCGAATGGCACATTTTTTGGACAAATTTTAATAGATTTCTTAAAATAAAAGTTAAAAATGATATAGGCGTCGTTGAGAAAGCAGGATGCAACTATTTGCCGATTCCTTGTAAACACAAACTTCAACCTTTTGCAATTGAGGACGCGGCAGCGATTAAAGGAACCTCTACAGCGGAATCATTGAATGCCAAAAAGTTTTGGCATTGTGTTGCAAGCGAAAATCTTACAAGATTTATCAAAATTAAAATATTTTGCGCGTTCCACCTTGTTTTGGACCCTTGCTTTAGCCGTTTTGAAGTCAAAGAATCACAATGACTCATATTGAAAACCTGACTCAGCTGAAGGAGTTCCTCAGCGTCTACAACACCCTAACTGAGCGATGTTTTGGCTCTTGTGTTCGTGATTTCAGTACAAATCAGCTTTTACCAGTCGAAGCAAAGTGCACACAGGAATGTAAGTTCATTTGTATTATGTTTTTGACTTTGTAGGTTAATTCTCGCTTGTTTCGAGTATCTTATACCATTTTGATCGCCTTATTTTGAGGAAAAGTCAACAGGCGTTGGATTGGCTAAGCGCAAAACATATTTCATCGAGATTTTGCTGATAGTTGTACGTTCCAGGTATTGATAAACAAATGCGAGTAAATCGACGTTTAATGGTGGTCTTCGCGGATCTGGCTCCAAAGATGTTGTTCAAACAACAGGAAGCGATGCAACAGCAACCTCAGCAAGTTGTCCCTGTTCCTACCCCTCCAGCAGCCGTGGAGAGTGCAAATTCGACGACCAAAGCATTACCTGCGGAGACAGTGCAGCAAAAGGTAGCCGAACCACCAGCGAAAACGTGAGGTCAAGTGTAAGATCTCTTTTTATATATTGTTTCTAGTTAGGCCCGTTGTTATTGTTGATATTATGGCACATAAAGGCTAATTACTTGTTTTACCGAGTGATTGATAACGTGTTATTCCTCCGGGTAAAAATCTACGTAACAACAAAAAATAAAACCAATATGTGTTACAATTTTTTATTATTGCATCTTTTTAGTGCTTAATGTAAAGTTGAATTCTAGTTGTATTTTTTATCATGACAAGTCACTTTTTCGCGCAATATCTGTTTGCATTGCGAGCAAAGGGGTAGGCAATACGTTGTCAAAAGTCAACGTCCCACAGCATTCCGAACTTTTTTCGCCGCCGATCGGTGTCGAAAAAAATGGAAAAATCGAGAGAGGGGTATGCATTTTTTTGTGTTGCCGGCTAGCAAAAGCAGGTATTGCAAAATTTGAAAAAGTGTTTGATACTCCGAAGATTACTCATTCTAATTATACAAACATTGCCACCGTGCACTCTGTAACCCCCGAGAAAATCGCATTCAAAAAAATGAAAATTTCAAATTTAAATGCAATGAAAATGCACTTTCTAGTTGACTACTGAAGAAAAAAAAGATGCTATCGTGTAGAGAATTTTGAGTACTTCCTAATACGTATATCTTTTTGCGTTTTTTTCTAACCGTTTTAGAGCTACCGTGCAAAAACGCCTTCTTTTGCACTTTTTCCGACTTATCTGCACTTTAAATGCAAAAATGCAAAATCTTCCGAGCAATTATCATTCTTGGCATCCTTGTGGATATACATGCCAAATTTCAAATTTCTACGACGCTTCAATCTCATGTTATATCGATATAATTACGAAACTTTAACAACTTAAGTTCCCGAAGAAAAACATAGAAAGCCTACCGTTTTTACTCTAGGATAGCCTTATTTCTTCCTAAAATGTGTCTTACCAACCCCTGGAATGTTATTCGTACATTTATGAGACAGCTTCATGTCATCATGAAAAAGGTTGATTTCATACAGCTGGCTCACAAGTGCAGCGTTTTCTATTCCCGTTAATGCGGTCCAAACGCAAGCTAATACCTTCAAATTCACAAATAAGGTACATATAACGATACTTTTTGTTGAAAATGTCACAAAATTTATATTTCAAGACGCGCTAATACGAGAACTTAAGTTGTTAAAGTTTCGTAATTATATCGATATAACATGAGATTGAAGCGTCGTAGAAATTTGAAATTTGGCATGTATATCCACAAGGATGCCAAGAATGATAATTGCTCGGAAGATTTTGCATTTTTGCATTTAAAGTGCAGATAAGTCGGAAAAAGTGCAAAAGAAGGCGTTTTTGCACGGTAGCTCTAAAACGGTTAGAAAAAAACGCAAAAAGATATACGTATTAGGAAGTACTCAAAATTCTCTACACGATAGCATCTTTTTTTTCTTCAGTAGTCAACTAGAAAGTGCATTTTCATTGCATTTAAATTTGAAATTTTCATTTTTTTGAATGCGATTTTCTCGGGGGTTACAGAGTGCACGGTGGCAATGTTTGTATAATTAGAATGAGTAATCTTCAGAGTATCAAACACTTTTTCAAATTTTGCAATACCTGGGGCCTGTTTCACTAACATAAAAATAAATAAAAGAGAAGTAGGGGGGAGCGAGAGAGCATCGAAAACGCGTTTGCGAGCAAGAGAAACCGGACGAAAAGCAGAAGTAGCCTACTTTTGCGGGAGTGACTTTTTACGTCCAAAACCGCGGTTCGCGGCAGTATTTTGGCCATAACTTTTTTCTCAGTTGGTCTAGGAACACCCTTCAAAATTTACAATGAAGCTGACAGTTTCAGCTATCACCAAGATTATTTTCATTGCTGTGGTGCCAAAACCCGTCCTTAAAAAAATCGTAAAGTACGCGTGCTTTAATTTTTGAGAAAACCGACTAAATTTGAGCTTAAAATTCCCATAACTTGGGTAAAACTTTTCGGATTGAAACCCTCCAAAAAACAACACATAGACTTTTTTAAGTAGTTTTAGACAATATGTGTTTTGAATTCCTTTTATAGCCCGGTGGACCGCTAATTTTACAGTAGTACGGCCAACCATCTCGTTTTTTCTTCTTCGCGGAATAAAAACGCATTTTTCTCACCAATTTTTATAAGAATAATTACAAATTTCATATCAGTGTGTAAAGACGTTTCTTACATTATGTTTTTTGAGGGGTGGCGATATATCATAAATTGATAGAGTTACGGGCAATTAAATCAAGGTAACCTCCATTTTTGACCATAAAAAGTCGTTCCGAAAGGGGCGAACTTTTCCTCTTCCTTTGATTTGAGGGCTCTTTTTATGACAAAAATGGAGGTAAATTTGCCATAACTCAGCCATAATAAGACCTACAATTGGCCCTCTAAAAAAGCCTCATAGAAAAAAAGACGGGCTATCGACTGGTATAAATTAAAGCGTCAACATTTTGAAATTGACCGAGAAATAAAACATTTCGTATCTTCAGTGTAAATGTACTCTGTACTTTAAGCTATATAGCTAATCTACTCTTGAAAATAAAACAACGAAATTTGGATATGTTGTAGTCTCAACCGTCAGCTTTATTTGGTTTTTTGAAGGGTGTTCCTATACCAATTGAGAAAAAAGTTATGGCCAAAATTCTGCGGCCAACTCCGGTTTTTGGACGTAAAAAGTCACTCCGAAAGAGAAGTAGGCTACTTCTGCTTTTCGTCCGGTTTCTCTCGCTCGCAAACGCGTTTTCGATGCTCTCTCGCTCCCCCCTACTTTTCATTTATTTATTTTTATGTTAGTGAAACAGGCCCCTGCTTTTGCTAGCCGGCAACACAAAAAAATGCATACCCCTCTCTCGATTTTTCCATTTTTTTTCGACACCGATCGGCGGCGAAAAAAGTTCGGAATGCTGTGCAGTGCGTCCCAATTACCGTTACATTAATCATAGCCATTTTAGAATATATTCTTTATATTTATGTGATTGATCGTCATATCACAATCGAGCGTCAATACCTCCCATCACAAGATGATTCTCGCCCGTCACAAAGCTTGCATCGTCCGAACAAAGATAGGCAACTGATGAGGCAATCTCCGAAGGCTTTGCAAACCGTCCAAACAGCCCTTTCGAGCCGTGTGCTGCGGATTTGACTTTGTGATGCCACTTATGAGTTGTGTCCCATAACTATAATACAATGAGGATTATGGTCTTTTTTCTGAAGTCTAAACTAAAATAATTTCCGGATCTTACCATTCGGCTCATTCCAGCGCCATCCACGGTGCCCGGGACAATACTGTTGACTCGGATGCGCTTGTGCGCCAGTTCTTGCGAGAGCACTGTAGTCAGCATTGAGAGCGCGGACTTTGTTGTTCCATACGCATTAAACGCGCCGGGGACACGATACGCGGCTAATGATGAGGTAAAAATCACTACGCCACCCCTGAAAAGACAGTAAATTATTATCTGTAGCTTGTGCCGAAGGATTAGTAAGTTTTTGTGTACTCACCCACTCCATTCCATCAACGGCACCGCCCTTCTGCACAGTTCAAATCCGGCTTTAATATTGATGTCACAAAGCTTGTCCCATTGAGATCCGGACACCTCCATTATATGCCCTACGGCAGGGTTGACTCCAGCATTGGAGATTAGGACATCTAGTCGTCCAAACTTTTTTTCAGCCACATCAATTAGCTCTTCTCGCTGTTCTCTGCAACCAGCATGGCAAACTTGGCCGCAAACTTGATTGGGATGGATTTCAGGGAGGGATCGGAGATAATCCACAGCTTCGTTGACGTTTTGCTGACATCGACTGGCTACAATCACACTGGCTCCTTCTTCCACAAGACGTTGAGCAATGGCAAGACCAATTCTGGAGAAAATTATTATAATACTTATAATAGATGACTAGAAATAAAAATCTTTTTTAGGGCCAAAATATTGCTCTTTTATGGTAAAATTAGTGGTCATACTGAACTTTGAGATCTCAACCTACCCTCGAGTTCCTCCGGAAATAATCACCACTTTCTTTTCGAATCTCCGGCACAAACGGGAAGATGTTTGAGCTTGAACTTCCACGTTTCTAGGGCAAATCAATTGACATACGGTATCCATTTCACCTCCAAACTTAGTCAGCCTCACTCTTAAAGCAATCTATCATTAAATTATGGAATTTTCGCAATGAATGAGGCAATAAACGCATGAGTTTATACAACCCGGAAACACGCTCGATAATAAAAACAAGAGTTATTGCATGGGGGTGTGAATTGCCGGGATGAGAAAGGGTGTTCCCCGAGGGTGTGAGGACTGGAGCGATAATACACAAAGTAGACTCTGAATCTTGATTACATTTCGACCAACAATTAAAAGTAGTGTTTTATACTGCCCCACAAATTTAGAATCCACCCCCCTCGACCAACGAAAACGAACCTGTGGAATGAAAGGATAGGCAAACGACTATCGACCAAAGCATTGATAACAACTCGTGTATTCACAGCCTAATTTATACAGCCTCAGGCCCGCAATTTACAACTCTGACTCCACCTTCGAAGCATTTGACCGTAGGCTCGTTTCGATCTGTGGTCCTTCCCCGTCTTCGTCCTCTTTTTTGTTATCAACTTCACCGATAATTTCCTCCTCTCACGTCACGGCTTAGCCGACTGCACCTCAACTGGAGATGACATCAGAAGGCGAAGCAAGCCGCGCCCTAATCAGTCCAGATGAGACAACCTTCTCAGTTTCTTATCAGCGAGAGTGCAGCGATTGCAGTCACACACTATAAGCCTCAGCGCTGACATCAGCCCAAGGAGTCGGTATCAGTCTGGCCTTAGCTGCGAAAGCCGATTGGCAGGGAATACCGTAACTCCTTACGTCAATGGGAGCATTTTGGAGTGGGAGAAAGTGACGTTTCAATTATTGATAGTATGTCGTTAAAGAAAAAAATGTCCCGAACGTTCGATCTCCAACTGCTATCCAAGTTTACGTTTTTCACGAGGTTCGTTAGAAGCATTTCCTTTAAAAAATCTTCAAACCTCTCCTTGCTCTATGCCGAGGTGGACTTGGACTAGCCCTGCCTATCCTTTTCCTTCCGAAATTCAAAATTATTCGCGTCCCGACTTTCCGGGTCGACGACAGTTCGGGTCAACACAAAATCGCTCGGTGAGACGCAAAAAGATTTTTTGTAGGTTACTACAAGGCCTGGAAAAGACGTTAGATGATCGACGAGGTCGGTGAAGGTTCAGCGGAGACTTGTCGAATGCTTTCAACATGACCACAATTTCTACGTTATTGCAACACAGAAACAACCAAAACTTGTTTCAAAAAACGAAGATCCGTAAGTTTTACCTGGATATCATTGTAAGACTTCAAAATTAATGATAAACTATTCTTTGACCCGATCAACCTTATCATTTCTCTTACCTGTCTCCACCTAACCTCCGACAGGCATAAAACGACAAATTGAGGCGACCCAAAGTATCGTCAACCCGCTCCCCCAATGTCAAATCAAAAATAAGGCTACTCGATTGCTTTCTGTCATTTATTCAAATTAAGCCAAGGCAATATCCGGGAACAACGTTACATTAACAACAAGAACTTGGATGAGATTTTACTGATTCTGAGAATATACGCGCATATTTACAGGCTACCTTCATTTGCTCTTCTGGTACTCCTCCAGCTCTTCTCTGTAGCGGATCTTGTCCTCTTCGGCCTTTTTGTTCCATTCGGCTTTATCGTCCAGCGATCTCCATTCCTCGGCGGCGGCTTTGGCAACATCGCCGACTTTCATGCCAGGCTTCGCAAAACGGGCGCGGTTCTCTTTCAGCCAGAGGAAGTAGGCGGAGAGGGCCTTCTTGGGGGCATTGGGGTCCTTACTCTTCTTCTTGGTGACACCTCCTTCACGGGCCATTTCGAAAATTTGGAAATTAAAGCTGAAAATAAAAAAATAATATTCGCAGACAAAAAAAAACGCGTTTAAAATATCAAAAACAACAATTCCACGAAGCAATATCAAAATCAAACATAAAAATCGAGTCCCCATCCGCGTATTCCTCCAAAAATCAGGTTCCAACTGAAAATTCAAATATAAACCCCGTTCTAATGAAAAAAACGGATATTCAATGCTCTAACAGCTCAAGAGCAAACAAAATCAACGTAAATAAAAAATAAAACATATTTTTAGACATAATTCATGCAAAAAACAGAAAAGCAACGTCCCATCACCGATAAAACCCAGCAAATGTCTATCTAAAACTAAGAACAAATGGAAAAAATAATTTTCCGCTCTTTGAATGTCATATGAGCAGATAAACAACAACAAAGCCAACCTCTCGCCAATAAAAAATGCGACCTAACAGCCTGAAAGCGAGCTTCTTCTGCCGGAAAGTTCGGGCGGAAATTTAGGCGCGAAGAAGTCAGGGCGCATCTCGCCGCGATTGGCATTCCGAATCACCTTGATTTCCGCAACGATTGATGATAAAAACGGCTGATGACTTGCTTACAAAACAAATGTCATCCTGTAATATGCAAATCTCAAAGATACTTTACATTACACATGACATTGAATGGTGAATAGAAGTTTATTAAATTATCATACATGCCTAAAAGTACAGAGAAGATTGCAAAATGAATTATTGTCATGATTACTCTCCAATGCAGACGTATTTCCATTGAGTAAATTCATCAATTCCCTGGGATCCGCCTTCTCTTCCCATTCCACTTTCTTTTACCCCTCCAAAAGCGGCTTCAGAGCAAGAAATGGCACCTAAAAGTAGATTTTGCCCCCTTATCATACCTTCTACGTCCACATACCCTCATTAACTCCGACCATTCCACTCTGCAATGCTCTGTAGACTCGATTTATTTGCCTGTAGTCCTCGGAAAAGATGTATGAAGCAAGTCCATATCTGGTGGAATTCGCCTTCTTGATGACGTCTTTCTCATCACTGAACTTCTGAATCGCCACGACAGGGCCAAAGATCTCTTGATTCGCCAGTTCCATGCTTTCATTGACATTGATCAAGATGGTGGGCTTGTAAATATTGGTTTCTTCGATGTACTTTCCTCCTACAACTACTTCCGCACCCTTATCAACAGCATCATCGACGAGGAATTGGACCTAAAATTGGTTCAGAATCAATATGTGAGGTCTTCCAAATATCAAAGACAATAAAAACGTTCATATTTTACCTTATGAAGAGCATTTTTGTTGATCATAGGGCCTTGAGTGGTCCCTTCTTTCAGTCCATCACCACATTTTAATGCCGAAATGGCCTCTTTCAACTTGTTCACAAACTCTGCGTGGACACTTTCATGGACATAATACCTGTTCGAGCTAACGCAAGTCTGCCCACTGGCCCTGGCCTTTGATGCAATCGCGCCTTTGACGGCTTTGTCCAGATCAGCCGATTGGAAGACGATGAAAGGGGCATTTCCACCTAGTTCGAGGCAAACTCGCTTCACTGTGGAGGCTGATTGGGAAAGGAGAAGCTGAAAATAGCCAGTACAGGGTGGGCCAAAAAAAATGGACATTAATTTTTCTTCGATTTTTCATGCCATGAAACAGTTTGTGAAAAAAGGTATATATGGCATGAAAGTACTGTGTTAAGGTAACATATTAACTGTAGAATTTTTGTCCTGTCTGCAGAAGTTTCTAACATACGGTTGCAGGAAGGTCGCCGGGTCAGCGCGCCAATTCCCGCGGCAAAAATTTCAAAAGTTCTTACCCCAAAATTTTTTAGTGTCGCTGTAAAGACATACCAAGCAGTCTACGCAAATCTAGGAGACATGCCCCCTTATGCTTTAAAAGGATTTAACCCAAGCTTTTCGGAAAATGAAGAACCAGTGACCAGAAGTTAGACACTCGGCCGGGGAAAATCGAGCTTTATTTGCGCACTTTCGGAAAATCGATGCTCTACCAAACATAGTGAACATTTTGAAACTAATTACGCCCATACGGTGTTTACTACTCTACGATGAATATACTAAGCGCATTTTTGACAATAGTACCCCTCAATCAGCAAGATGGCAAGCAAAAAATCGATTTTTTTGACTTTTTGATGGGTCATCTCAATAATACATGGATTCTGAAGGCTAGCTGCATCCTCATTTTATGAAACTGACTTAAAATGGAAGAAAGAGGTCGTATCACCTTGATATAAAAGTATCCCGTCATAGTTATCTGGCATGTTGGAGAACGCCAACAAAAAAGAAAAAAATTTCTGATCAAAAAATATCAGCGTCTCTGGGTATAGCCGGCTGAAATTTTTTAAGGTCTGCGTACGGCTGATGCAAGCTATTATCAAATCAACAGCTGGCCCATGTAAAGCAATGTTAGATGTCTTACAGTGACCACTTTTTGCTATCAAAAGCATGAGCCGGGCTCCCTGCGACTCTTGAATGTCAATTATCTCAAAAATCTAGAATTATCTAGATGGACCTCTTGTGGATCACGTTGAGAACTGCTGGAGCAAAATTAATAGAATACTATCAGCTTTTTTGCTTCTGTGGGCTCCCCTTAGTATCATGATAAACAGTCAACCACCAGTTTTGGGCTGGTCATAGACGTTCAGGTCATTGAAGATTTTTGGACCCATAAAATTTTCGGAAAACGAAGTCAGAATATGGACTGGTCTAGCATTTTGGCTTGTATCATCGGTTCAACAAAAGTATATAAAAAATTTAAATAGTTGTGATAAAGTAGGATAGTTGACAATTATAAAACTATTTTCCTTTCCGTTGATTACGGTATTCGTGCCGGGATACACCGACTTTTAATTTTGTCCATTTTTTTTGGCCCACCCTGTATAATAGAAATAACTCTTGATTTTTAACTTTTTCGATCAAATTAGCGGCAGTTTTAGCCGAAGTCTTACCTTTCCAACTCCAGTACTTCCAGTAAACGAAATACAATCAACATTCGGCGAAGAACAGACGAATTTGGAGATCTCTTGAGTATTCTCGTGGCCCGCAGGGACTACATTGAAGACTCCTCTGGGAACCCCGGCATCGCTTGCAGCGGCTGCCAACGCTAATGCTGAGAGCGGAGTGTCGTGAGCTGGCTTTACAACCATCGTGCATCCGGAGGCAAGAGCGGCGGCAGCCTTTCGGGCAATCATGGCTGTCGGGAAGTTCCACTAAAATTTTTAATGTTTCAGAAGAGCAAAAAAATACACACAAGTACCACATTAATTACTACAACAATTTTAAACCTTCCAGTATCAAACTCACCGGAGTAATCGCGACCACAACTCCAATCGGTTCTCTAATATGAAGATGAGTTCGATTCAGGACTGGCGGTTGAACAACTTGTCCGTAGATCCTTCTGGCTTCTCCAGCATACCAGTCAAAGTAGGCACCGGAATATTGAATCTCAATCTTGGCTTCGGCCAATGGTTTCCCCTAAAAGCAGAACATGTCTCATGTGCAATATAAGAAAGTAAATTCTCACCTGCTCTTCAGTCAAAAGCTTCGCCAACTCATCCTCCCGATCTCTAAGTATCTCGAACCATCTTCTCAAAGTTTCACCCCGTTGCTTTGCGGTAGTTTCACTCGCCCATAAAGTAAAAGCTTCCCGAGCTGCTTGAACTGCCTAAAACAACAAAAGACCAATACGGTTCGATCCAAAAGTGACAGCAAAAACTTTACAATACGTACTATCTCTGTATCTTGCACATTACAATCCGGAACATCAGTTATCGGCTCACTCGTATAGGGATTTGTGACCTCGAACACTTTTCCAGACGTACTTCCAAGCCATTTCCCTAAACTTGCAATAAACAAACTCCAAACTAACTTACCGTTTATAAAAGCCTTAGCGCCTTCTGGAAGAACAGATGATTGGAAACGTCGCATGGCGACTCTTTGGAAGGTAATCAACCTTCCATTGAACAACTTTAAACTCATGGTGAAAACAACCTCGCAACGAATGCTCGTTGATAACAAATAATCGCAACCAGAACGAGGAGAGTCCGGCCTCTAGGCGAATAACCAAAAAAACATTGTGTCAGGAAACTTTCTCAAAAATATTTTTCGGGGACATGTTTCACCGTATAAAATGGTGCGCAAACTGCACGAGCGCTGGGCGCGAGAGAAAGAAAATATTATGAAAATTTTTTCAGCTATTTCTCGATCCTTGCAAATATTTCTTCAATGCCAACAAGGGAACACGTACCTTCAACGTTATTTTCATCTATTACGCGGTAAAAATTCCAAGGCTTGAAAATGGCGGAGAGAGCCAATTTTATGAGGAAAGAAGGCAATACTCGGCCAAATCTGAACAGTTTACCTCTCGGATGTTATCAGCAATATGCACTGGACATTGGAAACCATGATTTCCTTCGAAGTTTTGTAAGTTTTTTTTGATTTGCTTTCTTTTCACTATTTTAGACATTATACTTGATATGTTTTAGTTTTTGTGCCGTCGTTCGCTGTCTTCAGTTCTTCCTGTGATCGAAAATTGTTGGATTTCCTCTTCAATCAATGGGTTATCGTTTTCTAACAAACGTAATGGCTTTCCCCTTTGTGACGGGCCAACTGCGAGCTGGGTATTATGTTACACTAAGCCATCAAAAATAAATCTGGTGCTCAATGAATATGTTCGGAAATTGGACGAGCTTTTGACTGGAGCTAAAAGTAAGTAGATCTGTTCTTAATTAACCGGATTGACATTTTTCTAGAGATTTCTCACCTTTACATTCATCCCGATATCTACTCCGTTGTTTTGATCAGATTGTTGAGCAAGTGCGGAAAAATCGAGAGCTTGGAGTGCATGTCGACTCTACTGAAGGCTCGAGAAATGAAAGGATTGGAGTTGAATGAGTTCATTGGGCTTGTTGACGACGGCTTGGGTAAGTTTTCTTCATGGAGAATATAAATTTTATTCGAAGTTGATTATCCATTTTATTTCTTAGATTTCGAAAATCTCAAAGGAGTTAAAATTAAGAAACTGGACATCGCTGCCCCTTCAGTCGATCTTCGGAAACTTAATACAACTCTTGAGGGCACCGAGGAGATGACAATAAGCGAATTCACTTTTCTTGCGTTGGAATCTACAGATTTCTTGAAGTTCAATCAGTTTATTCCTTCGCTAAGAAAAATTTCAGTCGTCATAAGCCAAGTTATTCCAATTGAGATCATCGGTAACTATGTTGGTAATTTCGTCGATAAGTGTTTTGATCTCAGCAAAATCAAGGACGTCACGTTGCCAGAAATTTTATTTCGATATCAGCTGTCTATTGACATATTTAACGTAAGAATTTCATTGAAAGTTTTATTAATTTTTTGGAAGGTTTTCTGCAATTATTTGATGTTATGCTTCAGATTGAAAATGACTACCACGCCGAGATTATGAACCTAGAGAAGGAGGGTGTAACCATCGAGCAAACTCTCAAGGAGAACGTCGACGTTTCCATTGAAGAATATCGGATCAAATGGAAGAAAGATAAAGTTGAATTGGACCTAACCTTGACCCTAAATGTTTATCAAGAACACGCGCTCAAGCAAATTGTAGAGGACTGTGGAATAAATGATGAAGATTTCAATGAAGTTGGTTCCGATTATTCAGATTTCGATGGAGATTATTGATTATAAGACTCATGGGTGATATTATTTCTTGTTTCGTTGCTAATTTATATTTATTTTGTTGAATCTTGAATAAAAGGTTGAATAAAATTTGCACTAATATCCTGGGATATTAAGTTTAAATAGCGGTTAGCAGCTTGACACAGCTGAATCTCCGATAATTTTATTATTTTTATTAGGGTTTATTACATTTTTTTGTACAATTTGTACAAGGTAAAGCTAATCTGAAGAAACGACGAATTTCTCGGCGATAGGAGGAAGGCCAATCTCTGGAGTCGTCGTTTCGAGTTCTTTGATCTCAACTTCGGATTCTGAAATATCAGTTTGTAATGTTATACATTTTGCACTAGCACAGGATGTACTTGATGAATCAAGTTGATATTTTCTTGATATCCCAAGATTTACCTTCCGTTCCAGCAGCGACTTGGACCATTTTTGGGCTGCCAGTGGTCACTGGGACTTCTTGTGTTTTGACTTGGAAGCCATCTGTTCCTTGGTTGAAGAGGGCAAAGTTGGCCAACTTCTTGGTCTCAAAGTCTTTTTGCGAAACTTTCATTGGTGGGATGTCTTCGAAAACGGGGGCCTGAATTGGGCGGAAAGCCGGGACAACGAGGGCTGGAGGCTGGAAAACAGCGGCTGGCCGGACAATTGGAGCACGGGGTTCTCCATCAAGGCCGGCGGCAACAGCATCATAGTAATCCAGATTTCTGAAAGTAAAAATATAATTTTACTTCTCAAAAGTTAAAACAATACCCTCAACTTAAGGCGAAAGCACTAATTTAAAAATGGGGGTTTTAAGATGGAGTTGTAGCACTTACTCGGCAGAAATTGGCCCATCATGTTGTTCATGGATGTTGGCGGTGGGTGGGAAAAGAATGGGAGCGAACATTTTGCTGAGGCCCGTCTTCTCTGGTTCCGGCTCTGAGCTGGCCAACACATTCAGAGCGAGAAGACTTAAAATTACTCTGACCAACATGACTAAAAATTTGAAATTATATAGTTTTAGACAAAAAATTTCGCGAATATTCATGTCATAGGGAATGTGAAAATTTATTGCAGAAATGGCTTGATAGCAAAATTTGAGGACAGAATAGGATGGTTGGGGTATTCAGAATGTCCTGAGGTTTTTAAGATTACTCATTATGAAAATTTAGCTGAAAAACGAAAAAAATTTGTAAAATCATCAAAGTTTTGTGTAAAAAGTTGGGTCTAACTTTGCTTTAATTTGATTTATTCCCCAAAAACCACGCCAAAATACTTTCGAATGTACGGACAACTCTGTGGACCGTCTACTATACGATTTCGACTATAGTAATTTCGGGAAGACTAAACTCAGCGGAAAAGTTTCTTCCGTCAAACTTCTGGGTGTTATATAAGGCCGCTCTCTACAGGTTTGGGTTTTCTGGCGCCTCCCGGTTTACAATAACCGGGAAAGGAGGAGCAGCGGGAAAGCAAAATTTCCGGTTACTTTAAATTTTCGGTAGTAAACTGTTCGAATGTTGAGAAAGTAATTAGGAAAATGGATGGGCGAAAATAAGGATGTGTTGAGGATTGGGAACGTGTGGAATTGAATGAAATGTAATTGCAACTGCAGCCTTAGATTTTAATTTTTCTGTTGGCTGTGCACAACGGACCGGAAATTACTGAAAAATAGGGTTGTAGCAGTCCGACTTTTGTCATATATCGCCTTGTGAAGAGGCTTTCTAAGGTGTTATACAACTGAGGAATTAAAGTTAAATTTGCTCGTAATTATACTATCATTAAAACAGCTGAAACTGAATCAAACTCCAACCGCATTCGTGGTAAAAACAGAACTTTACAGCATAATCAGATATTAAACAATCCCATCAATTTCCGGTTGGGATGTTTAAATTTTGATGTGATAGTGACCCTTTAGTGTACGATGACTCAAACGTGATCTAGAAACACGCAAAAAAGGGCTTTTCGGCTATAAAAAGTTAAAATATTGGACTTACTAGAGTTTAAATGCGTTCTTACATCTACAAAAGGTTGAAATGACCTTTTCAAAAAACTGTTATAATTCGACCTTTAAAACGTTACAATTTTTCCCGTAAATTACTGCTGTAATCAATTTCCGATTGTGGTCATTACAATTCAAGCGAGATGACAATTCAAAAACGTTGGCTCTTCGTAAAATGATTCACTTTTAAACTCCAAAAACTGTAATTAAAGTTGTTTTTATTGTAAACAGTCCATGTGAAAAAAAACGTTTCGAAACCGGGAAAACATAGGAAAATCACGCAGGAAAATAGTTTTATAAGGGCAAAGCTCTTCCGTTCTTTCCCTTACTGTACAAGACTGTAAAGGTGGAAATCGTTGAGAAGTCACATATGCCTGCAGAGTCGAGTGTAATCTTCTCTCTTTTTTACACTCTTATAAACTAACTGGATAGTCCTTTTCACTGAAAAAACCAATCAATTTTTTGTTTAAACCAATTTGCAATGCGCCTGTAAAATTGGAGGAGTTTTTTGATGGGCTGACTATGTGGTGGGATGGTGTAATGCATCGATTAAAAGTCAGACAAGAGGATGGAGTTTCAACATTAAAATTACTATAGAATTTTTTGCGTAGAAACACATTGATTTCAAGCTTCGATTTTCTTGAAGTTTTGGACATTTGCTTTACACATCCCGAAAAAATTTAGCTCCAGCTTTGCAAGTGTGCCTGAGACATTTAACGATGTTTTTATGAGAGAGTACGCAAATGAGGAGAGTCGGCCAGACGAAAAACGGATTTTTTGGCAATTTCTTTAATTTTGTATCAGAGAGGTTAAGATCTTCCAAACAAAATCGGAAAGGATGCAATATGAATTTATGCGCAATTTTGACATAAAGAATCTCTAGTTTTTGGGGAATGGAGGGCATGAAGTTGACTTGGAAAACGTGATTCTTAGGTTTTGCCGAGTTTCTGGAACGCCGAAATAGACTTGCATGGTTTGATACACCCTTAATACCGACCAGTTACGACAGCAATATACAGGGTGTTTCAAGAAATTTGGAACAAATAATTTTCTTATATCTTTTTGTTCTTTGCAGCTATCAACGAATTTCTTTTTGCTTCTAAAAATTGACAGCGTGCGTTTTTAGAATCTCAAAAAAAATTTTTTTTTTCGTCGGCGGAGGGCCCATTTCTCGGCGTAGACAGTTGGGGCCTTTTTTAAAAATCACATCGTATTACGTGGCGGAAACGCCGTTGCAACGGCTGAAATCAAGTTTACGTTACACCTCCGTCGATTTTACGGTATGCATTTTTTTGTTTTCGATTTTACGCGCACCGCGGAGGCGCGGCGGAGACTTCAGATTTCGGCGGACGTTGTTTTGGGCCTTCGGCTGTTGCAATTCATGTTGGAAAAGAGGTTGGGGTGATTTTTTGTTGTCATCCGATGCAAAGATGGCAAAAATTTAGTGCTTTTTTTCCCCGGCGGAGGATTCGGCGGAGGCTCTATCAAAGGGTCAAAGCTGTCTTACGAGTCCGGGAAAAATCTCAGCCACAAGAATCCATCAGAGCAGCATTGTCTTTCAAAGATTTTTGATTTTTTTGGTCCGGCGGACCAATCGGCGGAGTTTTGTTTTTACCCTTCGATAAAGCCTCCGCCGACTCCTCCGCCGGGGATTAAAAACACGAAATTTTTGCCATCTGTGCATCGGATGACAACAAAAAATCACCCAAACCTCCTTTTCCAACATGAATTGCAAAAACCAAAGGCCCAAAACAACGTCCACCGAAATCTGAGGTCTCCGCCGCGCATCCGCGGAAGAGCGTAAAATCGAAAACGCAAAAAAGCATACCGTAAAATCGATGGAGGTACACTGCTCGCCAAAATTATAAATGCACTTCTAAAATCGCTGTAACTTTTGTGGTTTTCAATAAAACTGTGCCATATTTGGCCCCAATATGTACCAGTGTACTATAAATCTTTTGCCAAAAAATTATTTTGAAAAGTTTCCACAATTTGGAAAAAGTTGAAAAAACCGAAATTTTGGAGATTTTCTTTGCGACAAAATTATAAATTCACGCAATATTTTGCAATTTTCTTGCCGTTGGCGCTGAGGCAAAGTAAGTTATTTGGCTTAGTGGTTTCCTTAGGTGTGCTTCTGGCATGATACGAGGAAAAACAGTGACAGAATTTGAAAAAGGCGGAATTACGACCCTGAAACCGCAAAGACCTCGGGTTTGCCAGATTTCGGCTCAGGTAGGCCGTTCAGCCGGAGTTGTGAAGAACTACTTGGCTCATCCGGAAGCCTTCAACACGGCTAAACGTTCTGGCAAAAAAGGTTTACCACCGCGGCAGAATTAAGGCAGAGAAATCCGCTGAGCTTCCAACTACACCATCTCCGGGTCTCATATAGAGCAAGAAAAAGGTCTCAATTGTAGCGTGATAGCTATGCTGAGGACACTAAGACGCAGCGATGTCATCACTGGACATCATATGAAATCATGCCCCCAGCTGGCCTAGGTTCGGTTAGCGCGCGACCGAAATTGGCCAAGATGGCTTTGACATAACAGGTTGAGTAGTCAAAGGTCAGTTTCCCAGCGTTGCAGTACCGAATTACTTGTAGATTGCATGGTCAGACGATGTCCCCGACGGTTTTCCACATAGGACATATCACTGTCATTACATCAGAAGATAACCGCGTTACTTCTTGTGCCGTAATGTTGGAGGCTCTGTTTTGTCAAAGTTACCTTGGCCAGTTTCAGTCGCGCGCTAACCGAACCTAGGCCAACTTGGGGCACGACTTCATATGATGTCCAGTGATGACATCGCTGCGTCTTAGTGTCCTCAGCATAGCTATCACGCTACAATTGAGACCTTTTTCTTGCTCTATATGAGACCCGGAGATGGTGTAGTTGGAAGCTCAGCGGATTTCTCTGCCTTAATTCTGCCGCGGTGGTAAACCTTTTTTGCCAGAACGTTTAGCCGTGTTGAAGGCTTCCGGATGAGCCAAGTAGTTCTTCACAACTCCGGCTGAACGGCCTACCTGAGCCGAAATCTGGCAAACCCGAGGTCTTTGCGGTTTCAGGGTCGTAATTCCGCCTTTTTCAAATTCTGTCACTGTTTTTCCTCGTATCATGCCAGAAGGACACCTAAGGAAACCACTAAGCCAAATAACTTACTTTGCCTCAGCGCCAACGGCAAGAAAATTGCAAAATATTGCGTGAATTTATAATTTTGTCGCAAAGAAAATCTCCAAAATTTCGGTTTTTTCAACTTTTTCCAAATTGTGGAAACTTTTCAAAATAATTTTTTGGCACAAGATTTATAGTACATTGGTACACATTTCGGCCAAATATGGCACGGTTTTACTGAAAACCACAAAAGTTACAGTGATTTTAGAAGTGCATTTATAATTTTGTCGAGCAGTGTATTACGTAAACTTGATTTCAGCCGTTGCAACCGCGTTTCCGCCACGTAATACACTGTGATTTTTAAAAAAGGCCCTAATTTTCTACGCCGAGAAATGGGCCCTCCGCCGACGAAAAAAATTTTTTTTTGAGATTCTAAAAACGCACGCTGTCAATTTTTAGAAGCAAAAAGAAATTCGTTGATAGCTGCAAAGAACACAAAGATATAAGCAAATCATTTGTTCCAAATTTCTTGAAACACCCTGTACAGCTAAAAAATGTGTATCGGCTACCTTGAATTTTAAGTTTTTAATTTTTGGTCCGTTTCGACATTAATCTGATCTCGTAATGAAAGTTCAAGGTCTGCACACGCGGACGGAAGTCTACTGGACCATGAAATCAGTATACTAAACAGTACACCACCTGACATCACAATTAGTTTTCGATTTAATTACACTTTCAGAAACAACGTTGTCTGTTCACAGCGAATAAATTGCTTCTTAAAAATCATGAAGGTCAACCTTTCTCGGGATGGAAAATGGTTGGAAAATTCAAGGGAAAAATTCTAAATTAAGGAACGCTGTCATTGAAGTAAAAAAAACAAAGATTGAT